GATTGTTTATGACTGACAGCGTGCGCTTTTTTAAGGAGTAATTGATATGATTACATGGTATTTTTATGAATTTTAAGCAACTTGCATTTTATAAATATCAGAGTTGCTTCGTGATTATGTTGTGAAGTATAATTAGTATTCAAAGTATTTATCGGAATTAGGATTAGTGTTGGAGATTTTTTTTTTAATTTATAAAAACTAGCTTTAACCCTTGGCTTCGCTCGCGAATATCTAAAATAATGAAGTTGCTTCCGCACGCGTCTGTAGTCACAGAAGAAGTAACAATGAAGTAGAATGGCGGGAAGTTTAAAATGGCTGAAAGTATAGTCTATGGAAGTATAGTGTACAGTCTCCATAGTGTAGTCAATTGGATTTGATGTTGACGTAGCTGTCGGTAATACAGTGTGATAATACAGTGTGATGGTACTATAGTACTTAGGTTTGAGCTTCATTGCTGGAATGCTAGATGGCGTTAAAGTAGTCAAATAGCCAGATGCAGAGGTATTATTGGCTAAACAATTTCTTTATTTTATTTTAAAAATATTTTTTTTATTAAATAAAAAGTAGCCTATAACCATTCGGGGAGCACTAAGAATATGTGTACAAATTTTCATGATGATCGGTTAAGTAGTTTTTGCGTGAAAGTGTAACAAACATCAGGACTTTTGCATTTATAATATTATTAGGGATTAGTAGGGATTAGATGAATTGGGTGATTATAACGTTTTGTGCTGCATTTTTTGCAAATGCGCAGGCACAAGCTCCACCCCGTGACTAAAACCCGTGACTAATATACTTTAGTCACGGCCCTGGCTGTCTGTGTTTAAAATACCACTTTTTGTGCCTCAAAACCGTGGAAAAACTGACGTTTTTAAGGTGGAAACAGAAAAATTAATCAATTTTGAACTTTGAAAGTAATTTTTTTAAAGTTCATTTTTTATTGTTTACTCATGTGCAATAAAAGGTACAGTTTGCCTTTTTCATGATTGAATAGTTTAATTCACTCTTAATTGATATAGTTGCTCGATTTATCACAGGAAATTAGAAATTTCTCGTGACTGAAAGACATTCAGCAAGACAATTACACTCGTTTTCGATTATTCGCGCGATGTTATTGCGAATTATGTGCCGCGATAACGTCCGCGACATTATAATATCCCCACAGAAGTCCGCGCGCAAGATTAACGCCTGCGATTAGAACGCTCACTCTCCTCGCCGCGAGAAAAATCAAAACGTAACTCGACTTCTCCAGTCACACACTCACATTGAAATAAAACGAACGATTGATGAATTGATAACGACTTTACAGACTTTGTCTTTCCTCTAGTCTAGTCTAGTGGTACCTCTACTCTGACTTGACTCGTAGATGGTCGATGGGCGGTGGATTTATTGAAATAAACACCTATCACTGACCGCCGTTGCTGCGCGCGCGCGCGCATATTTAAATGTTCAACCGGTGGTGTGGAATTGAGTTGAGGCTTGTCATTAAAAGCATAATGGCGCTGCGCGCACCGACAAGAAATTAAATATGCGCAAATCTTATAACGCATGCGACGCACGACACTAGCGACATGGAGACACCGGGCGACACGAGAGAAATTGCCACCGGATAATAAATCAGGCGCAACTGCGCGGGGCCGAGCGCGCGCTTTACGCAAGGCAGCAGCAGCGACATCGACGATCGCGAGTGGTCACTTAATAGAAAGTCGTAAATTCGTAATAATTAAATTTCAATAAAGCCGAACCGAGGAGATACGAGGGTCGTAAAGCACTCGCGAGTGGAAGCCAAAAAAAGGAACGCATGCGCATACGTGATCGCACTTATTATACTCAATAATGAGATTTTGGAATCGGTTCATAAATTTTTTGAAATAAATGGCAATAAATCACTATTTTTATTTTCTGGATAATTACAGAGTTCTGTTTTAAACAGCAGAAGAAAAAGGAAACTGTAATGTCGGTAATGCAGATTACTTTTTTTTTCAAATTGACAGAATTTATATAAATGGTAACACAATCCGCAGATATACACTAATTAATTTAATTTTGTTTTGTTTAACATTTAAACAATTTTTAATGATGTTGAAATTATCAGCTAATTATTTTTTCAATTTACTTAATCCGGTTTATTCAATATCAATACTTTTAATGAAATTTTATTCTGCATTTAAATTTATATTTTATTTTTTCCTATTTGACGTTTTTTTTTGTGCAAGTAGTATGAGTACGGGAGGGGGCGGAGTAACGTGCACGCCGAAAAAAATCGAATTAAAATAAATAAATTGCACGGACGATTTTTAATTATTATTCGGGGGCGGCCGGCGGCCGCTGCACAATTTTCGCGATCCCTCACCCACCCTCAGCCGCCCCACGCACCAACATTTTTCTGTGTTTGTGCGTGAGTGTGTGTATGCCGGACAGAAAACCACGCTCGGCTTGCCGACTCTCCTCCGGAAATTAAATGTGCACACGTACCCTATACGTGCGTTGGAGGCGGCGGCGGCGGCAGCAACAACAGCGACAACGTTATCTGCGCGTATAATGCGCGGCCCGGTTCGTCAGAGTTGCGAGCGGTTAAAAGTTAAAACCTAAACGTTCGAATGTGTGTTGTGTTGTGTTTTTTCTGCGCCCTGTCGAGGGGTGGCGGCCGATGAAGCGAAGAGGGGCGGCGGGGAGGGTGGTCGCGCTTCGCATAAAAAGTGCGCGCGGCCGCTTTTTATTTTGCGTAATGAAAAAATGCGAAAAACACGAAATGTACTCGCGCCCGCGCGCTGCATGTATAAATAAATCTAGATGAGTATGCAGATAGAAATTTATTTATTATTTAAATAACAATTCGTTGGGAAATTATTAGGCGCGTTGGAAAAAAAAACAACAAAAATGTTTAAATACCACATGTCTTCAAAACAATCAAATTTTTTTATCAAAATTTATTTAAAAATATTTAAACACCCAGTATAACACTACTTTCTCCTTTATTGGATCTACTTGAATAATAAATTAATATTTTAAGTTCTACATAAACTTTAATTTTTAATTTATTAACAAACTGTGAGTGAAAAAATGTGATTTTTTTGCGACCGCGAACAAAATAAATATTTCAGCCAATATAAAGAGTGCGCCAGCGGTCGGCGGTGGTGCATGCCTCCAAATAATGGAAAAGTAGCCTAGGAACACCCCCATCACAACTCACCCCCCGCACACTAAAAAAATGCGCCGAAAAAAAACAACAAAACTAAAAAAAATGCGCCAATCACATTCGAATTCGCGCATCGACGGCGGCGCCAAAATCACCCCCGCGACACCCTCTGCCTCCCTGAAACCTCACACCGCTGTCGTAAAAAAAACGCGAAAATAAAACGCAATATATATTTTTTCACCTCGTTCGCCTATCTCTGTAATGTTTATATAATGCGTTTCGATGGGGATGAATAATAAATTCACAAAAAGTGCGCTAAAAATTGGAAAACGAAAAAAAGCGTTCTATTTGATTTGGTTTTTAGTTTATTTTCATTTCGATTATTTCAGTGCGTAAATATAAAGCTTTAATTTTTAAAGTTTTCATTCACCTAGCGCCACCACACATCGTCTTACATTACTAACGATTAGTAGTGTACCATCTTGCAATGTAGATGTCGCTAGCGGGATGATTTTCTCAAATATTTAAAACTTTACTTTTAAGTTTTTTGTTTTTGTTCTTTTGTGGTTTTACCAGGGCGTAAATTGTGATTGAAAATTCAATTACGCATATAATACGTTTCCTGCGGTGCGACTGCACATCCCCTGCACGCAAATTTTCGCAAAACGAAACGAAAATATGTATTCAAAATGTCGCGCCCGCGAAAACGTAAAATCATCGGCATGGTCATTAGAGTCCAAGTGCAAAAGTGCACTGCGGGCGAGGAATGAGGGTTGTGAGTTGGGACGCAGGGGCGAGACAACGCGAATCAATGTTTCATTAAAAATGCGGTCAACTTGAAATTACATATTTTGATTGAGTAGCCACCGCCGCGTCCAGCGCAAACGGACGATGCATTGTGCCATATCATATATACAGAGTGTTTAAACTTCAAAAATCAAAACCTATAATATTTTCAAAGATTATTACAATTTTTTCAATTTAAACGCTTTGTATATTTTCGGGACGAATCGAAAATATGTAACGTTAATAGAACGGAAAAAACGCTATTGGCTATTAGCGCCTGGTCTTCTGCCGCTGCACCGCTCCCATTCCCCCTGCATCAGTAAAAACACAAAAAAATACCGATGACTAGTTTCGTTCCTCTCGTCTCGTTGTGTTTCTCGTTCTCTACCACCCCCTATCGCCAATCAATCCGCGGCCAAATAATAAAATGATGGATAAAATGGAATATAACCCGAAAAAGTGATTACTTTTTCATTTGCGCTGCGCGCGCGAAAAAAATGCCTATTATCACGAGGCGGGAGGCGCGAGGGGCATTCGCCGCCGCACATCTATTATAACCGCGGGCGTGGAGTGTGGGGGCGGTATTGGCGCGACGTAACTACGTTTCTAGTTCGGCGCGGTCAAGCCGGCCAGAGTGATCCAACGGTTCCGTGATGCATTTATAACTAAATTGTGAAAAACCGCAAAATCCAATGATAAATATTTTTGATTTTTTGGCGGCGGCGGCGAGCACGAACTGATGGAAATGATTTGTGCCCTGATGGGAAATTGCCGGTGTTGTAATTGGGAAGGAAATCTTTAAAATTCGATTATTTACCGGCCGAAAACTGTAACTGTAAACTTGTTACGAATTCATTGCTATCCAATCAAAAATTTGAATATTTTTTTTATTGGAAAATCTTATAGTTAATTTAAAAATTGTATAATATATTTTAAGAATAAGGCACATTTAATTAAAGCATCATTATCACTTAGCTTCAAAATTCAAGACATTATTAACGTAATAATCAACTAATCAAATAAAAATAGAATAACTAAAATATTTTTAAAGTTTTTCGTAAATTTTCTGTTTGTTTGATTGAGTTCTTAATTTTTAATCTTTATCTTAACTTAAATTGCAACTTGAAAAAATAATGAGATCTTATATGGCAGTATTTAGGTGTTTTCTTACTTGACGCAATAATAATAATGTGATTATTACCTTTTCTTTGTGAATATTACAAAATCTATTTCTTTTTTATCGGTATCTTCTTTAGAAATATTTTTAGTATTAATTTCTTGGTCCAATTGGTGGAGATATGTTTTTAAAACATGATAATACAAAAAGTTATAAACAATTAAAAGAGCATTATGCAGTAATTCAAAAATGTCCTTAAATTTCTTTCTATTTTTTATACAAAAGAGATTTCAATAAAATTTTGATATTAGTAGACTCAGAATTTAAACCTGAATAGATTTTTAATGATTTTTAATAGATTTTTAATGATTTGAGAATTTAATTAATTATTGAATTAATAACTATCACAATATTATTCTCGTGCAAAGTAAGATCTTTCTAAAAATTTTACCAAGGACGCCACATTGGTTCATTCTTATCATTATCATTTTCATCATCATTTTTCTCAGTTACAATATCATCATCTTCATCATCGTCATCATCATCACTACTTATACACTCGTAAACAGTAGGTTTATCATATTTTTCTACACCACTAAACTGCTCAACTCTTTTAAACGCACTTACACTCGGCATTTCCTCAATAATTTCCACTCGGGGATATTTCACGGGCGCAACAGATAATAACCCTTCGGCTTTTCGCTTTAAACTATTGATCAATGGTTGTTGTTGTTGTTGTTGTTGTGTTGTCTGTGGTTTTGAAGAGTAATAACGGTTTTCTTCCTGATGTCTTGTTTCGTCAATCCGCTGTGCTTGCCGATAACTCTCGCCGGTATTAGTGATAATACACAATGGTTCGTGTTCCTTTTTATGCTGTTGGTGATGTGTTATGGTATTAATCGGAAATTTAATATTTTGTATTTTATCATTCGTTGTGATATTCAAGCCAATAGGTGCTTTCTCAGCCTTTGGTTTGATGATTTTAGGCATTTCAGGGCTGATTGGTGGACTCAATGGTTTCGCAATGGTCAAAAGACCAGTTTGTGGTCTTGGCATTACCGTAACAAACGCACTGGGTCTTTCACCTCGGTCAACTCTTTCAGAACGTTCATTTTTGCGATATTTTCTAGATTATTTAAATTTCCACTCGAATTTAAAATCGATGAAAATGATGCTTTCGGAACCAAGAAAGCAAAGTCTCCATTCGGTAAGCAGCTCGGTATTAATTCGATGCCTTGCATTGTGGGCAACTGCCGACCACTATTGTTGTTCTGGTCGTCGTTGTGGTTGAAGCGGCTGTGCGCCGCGAACGAAGCCAGCAGCGAGCTGGAGGTGAAATCGAATTGTGGACGCTCGATGGTGTTGGCGCATTTGTTGAGGTGGCTTGATAAGCGTTGCTTTAACCCCGCGTCAACCCCATCGATTTGGTCCACGTAGGATGACACCTCTGATGCGCACTCCAGATAACCGGATTTATATTTTAAAGCTAGGGTTGGATCTGTGCGGATGGCGATTTCTTTCTGTTGTTTCTGAACGGACTTTAAGTGTTTAACGGCCATTTCTAAGATGTCGGCTTTTTCTAGTTTTGAATGACGTTCAGGCTATAAAATTTAAATTAATTTATTAGATATTGGTATAAATGAATTAAAAAATTAATTATTAGGTAATAAATGACGTGAATTATTAATACTTACGTCTTTTTTCATTGCTGACAGAATCAAGTCTTTGATCTCATTCAAACAATTGTTGATTTTTGCACGTCGACGTTTTTCCATTATCGGTTTATGCGTCTGAAAAAAAATAACAAGAAATTTAACATCCATCATATTTGACTTCTTATTGAATAGTGCAAGAGTAGCTCGGTAATATGTCTATTGCACATTGTGCAGGTAAGCAATACGTCAAGTGCGTGCGTGACAATTGCTATTGTGCAGTGGTGCGAAGGGGTGAATTTTAAATACCGTTACGCTTTGCTGACCATCGTGAGAACCACATATTTTAACACGCTACAATACATATTCAGGGATATATTAATTTTGACATGGTGGTACAGTTTATAACTTGTGAAAGCAAGATTTTTAGCATTTTAATGTCTAAACAATAAAATCAGAAGAAGCTATACATGATCTTTCTGAATTAAAATATTTTTTGTATGGAATTAAGAACAAAATCAAGTTTAATATAAAATAATCGCATTCTTGTTTAATTTTTCTGCTTCCACCTTTAATGCGCCAGTTTTTTCACGGTTTTGAGACACAAAAAGTCGTACTTTAAACACGGACCACCTAGGTCGTGACTAAAGTAAAGTATTTTTCACCAAAACTTATCACCGTTAAAATAAATAGCCGTTTTTAATTATTTATTGCTTTTGGGAAAAATCGATGACTCTCAACATAAATAAATTTTATATTTAGTTCCCGAGATAAAATCAATACAAAAATGTAATTTTAATGGATTGCTGCATAAGTAATCTCCCATAGATCACAATTTTTCACTTTCTCACAGTATTCAACCTTATCTTCAACAAATATCAGAATACACCTATCAGTTGTCATGATTATAATTAAGACCAGGGTCTGACCAGGTAGAAAAAAACCACAACACAAAAAAATTAAGCAGTTAATGGTCTGGGTCTCTATGGTCAACTTGTTATACACCGTATTTTTTGTTGGGCCTTTTCGCCTTCACGGTCACTTGCACTTTCGGCATCCCAAAGTATCAAAACTATCAAATTTCGTTTTAATGTTGTCCCATTTTGTTCACCATAAATACTATCAGATGTCATTATCATGCTTCGGCAATTTTCAAAAAACTTTTATAAATAATTACCTTTCTTAACTCGGCTTTGGACATCATTCTGTTTTGGGTTGTCGATGTGGGTGCAGCGTGCTGATGGTCCAGATCGTAGTGATCGTTGGTGGCTTCGTCGTACGAGTAGTCGCTCTCGCTAATTGGCATAGTAATTGCGATTAATTAGCCGCGTAATTATCCCCGTCCACGGCGATTGTCAGTATTGTCGCTCAGAGGTGACACACGTTTCCACCCCGTCTGCGTGTGCGTATTGAACTCTATGTTCTCTATAACATCGAAACGAATTCGATTAATTTTAATGCTTCATTTCATTTATTTAATTGACCTAACAAAACAATAATAGTAACAATAATTTAGTTTCTATAAATTACCTCACAGTTAAATTAATGTTTCACCAACGTTGATAAATCCCAAGGGTATATAAACACTTTGAAAACTTTTTCACTTTTTTTTCTTAAATTCTTCTGATGTTGTCGGTGCGCTACCGAAACGTTAACTGATGTTTCCATCTGAAGGTAGCGTCCGCACGTCGATTCTTGTCTCGGTGGTTCGAGTGTTACTTCCTCCACCTTCCTCCACCTTTGCGTGCCCTTTACGTCCACTTCAATTTCCACCTCTACTCTACTCCAGTCTACTCTACCCCGCCGGCAATGTTGTGATGCGTGTGAATCGGTTCCGACTTCCGAATCGGTTCCTTCCGAGGGGTGCCCCTTAGCCCTCATCGTGCGAACCGCGTGCCGACGCGGGCCACACGACATTCCCATACATGCGGCATCGTGAGCGTGCGACAGAAGTGTGTCAGTGTGAAATGGAAGAAAAGGGGCACACCGACCCCCTGATGCTCAAGAAAAGAATGAAAGAATGAGAGTTGGTTAGGTATAATAACCTACTTATCGTTTGCCAGTGTGTGCATTTCGATGGGGTGCATATATTCGATGGTGAATTTTGGATTTCACCCATTCCCATAGAATTTCTATCCAGTTGGAGGTAACACGAGAAAACGAGAAAATCGAAAATTTTACACTTCTTTTCAAAAATTAACCCTCACTTCTCATGAGAACTTTATACATAAAATTTTACCTACATTTTAAAAATTTCTATTAAATATTATAATAGAAAATGTTTTGTAAAAATCACTTTTTGACATCTACGTTGAAGATTTACATTTTCCACATGAGCGCACAATGCTTATCCTTTTATACCTTTACCCATGAAAAATAACCCATGAGTATTGCGATGAATTGCATTTTGAACTTGTTATTCAACTTCATAGTTGCATTTTAAGTTTGAAACTGTGTATTATTCAAATTTGAAAATTTTAAATATTCTTGAGCGCTTGTCTTGTCATTTGAGTATCCCGCATCGTGGGAACCATCGCGCGCCGGTATGAAAAATGTTTGCACTAGGGGCGCCTCGACACACGTCATACCTATACAGTTCCTAGCATTTTGGTACATTATATGAGGGGAATTATGTGAGGGATTGTAATTACGCGCACCGGTAAAGTTCCCCTATCAGCAGTTAAATTACGCATAACGTGAGCAATGAGTTTTGGAATGACATTTAAAGACGGCTGGACGATACAAATGTTATATTATTTTATTTTAATATTAACTAGAATTTTCTCATGATTTCTAACTCCGTGTTTTAAAGTTTTAATTAATTTTTATTTTCTTGTTCTTTGAATCTAGTAAATGTCGATTTTAACAATAAGATAAGCAATTTTATTTTTAAAAAATGTGAAATGCGAAAAATGCACTTACCGACTTTCATCCCTTATTTAACACCCTTTAAGTCATAATTATTAATATTTTAATAGTTATTCTGTTATTCGGGACAGAGATAAATCCAAATAATCATTGATAATCAAAATCTGTCCAGCAGTTCTTGAGTTATAAGTGTAGTAACTAACGCGACTTTGTTTTATATATAGTAGATGACAATAATATACAAATTAAGTTAATTAACAAACAATACTTTCAATTTTACTCCACTCTTTTGGTAATTAAATAGTATTTCATTAAAAATAATCAATTTATGACACTTTTAATTAGTTTATTTGATATTTACATATTAGCAATATTAAAATGTATCATTAAGGGTCGGTAACTTACTTGTGTGAGTGTTGTACGTATGCACGTGTTTACGTGTGCGTTTATTGTGAGTTGTCGGTTCACACGAACAGGTTCTTTGCGGCTCCCGTTCCCCTACTTCTTTCTCTCATGCCAATGCTTCTGATGCATTTCGACGCATAAACGCATATCGACGCACTTCGAACGCGTCGCGAAGTTCCCACGGATGCAAAACACACACATACACACACACGTTCATACCTACAAATACCATCATCATATTTGTAAGTTTACAATTCGATACAACTTAATATAAAACAAAGAAATGCATTATAATATTCCAGCGCCATCTGTGCTTCAATAGCCTTTAATATAATATATAACCTTCACCTTCAAGATAATATTTAAATTCTTAGAAATTTTAAATCTATACGTTTAAATATTTTAATTTAAAATGATGTATTTGACCTTGATGTTACTTCTTTGCTTCTCATACACGTTTATCTTGTAAATTTTGCATATCATTGATTGTCATCTGGCCTGTCAGCAGACAGATACGCGTCAGATGTGAGATAAACACTAAAATGTTATACGCGTTCGCGTGTTGCAATACGCACGATGATTGAAATTTATTGTGCACGCACTGTGCAACACAAATTGAATGCTGGTAAGTTTATCGATCAAAATTGGAAATATTCTGTGTAGAAAAGTAACAAGAGTGAGTACTGTTATGCCGGTGCATGCGAACCGGATGTCACCGGATGCCCGTGTTACCTTTTTGAGCGCGTTTTTTTTTTTATACCTACGGATGCGTGTGCTTCTTTTATTTACACAATTTTGATAGAGCAAACACCGGCTAACCCTTTGAGTAAATGTCTAGGTAAATAGAAATGGGAAAAATTACGGTAGTTTTGGATCATAGATAATAAGATAAACGGTTCTTCGATATTATAATAGGAAATATTAAATATTAAATGGGTATCGAATTTTATTTATTTTTTTTTAATAAAAGAAGTGCTGTTATTTATAGTTTGGTTTAGGATGTAGTAAAAAAGTAATTGATTTTTGTTTTTTTAACAAAATATTCGATTTTAAGCTGATTAAATTTAAATAAATGTAGTATATTAGCTGAGGTACAGTTAGGTACATGAAACATCTTCTCTTTAGTTCAAAAAAGTACTTTATTAATCCTTTGCATAGCGTTAAAAGTCACACTTTTATTTTTTATGAAAATTTAAAATTTAAATCTTTCACTATTTAAATATACTCCTTCTGAAAAAATATTATGAGTTTTTATCAAGCAACGCAAAAAATTTAATATTCTTCCTTGTTTGTTTTTTCTTCTTTAATTTTCCAGTAACCACTAAAAAAAACTGATTAAAATGTTTTTATTATCTTCTAAATAAGTTTTTGTTCCCTTTTTTATTTCATTCCAACGCAGGTTACAATGTTAAAAATTTACAAGGTGCTTAAGGGCTTACCAAAAAAGAGATCCTCCACTGCTTCTCATGGGAAAAAAATCAAAAGCGAAATCAAACCCACCCTCACAACCTTAACCTCAGCATCATCGGCAGTGGCGGATTACGGCCTAGGCGCACTAGGCGCGCGCCTAGGGCCCCGGCTGCCTGGGGGGCCCCGGCTGCGCTGCCTGAGGGGCCCCTGGCACTTATATGTCCCATATAGACATAGTAATTCCACAAATACTTCATCACTTGGTTTGGACCTCAGCCTTTATGAATAGCGTATTGGTTTTCACTTGGCGCCCAAAACGGCATTTCACACGTGTTCGCAAAGCAACCGTCACGGATATATAGCTGACTTAAAACTATTTATCTCCGATTTTATGTCTTTATGGCAAACTGTTTAAAATAAAATTTGGATGTTTTCTGCCACGAATTTTTGTGACCTTTTCTTGAATATTGCATTAGAAAGTTGTAGCTATAATGCGAGTAGTATATTGCCAATTTTTTTAAATTTCGAACATTTGTGGAGGAGATGAGTTGAGGAATATTCCATTGAGGTTGTAAAAAAGCGGGTAACTCTCTTTTTTGGAATATTAATTATTTCGTCTTTCTATCATTTTTTCACATCTGCGGAACACGTTGTACCAACGTGTATCCTCCTACAATTTTTATCTACATTTTTGGGGTGGTAGTTGGATTAAAAAAAACAGAGAGTGGTCAGTGAGTCTTGAATCACAACCCCGAAAACACTAGTTCTACAAAAGTTTTTTCTCGAAGTTTTGTGCATAGATGATTTGGCGTGGGTGATTTTCAAAACTGCAGTCAATAATCAACAAGAGCTTCTATAAAGGTACATCGTTAATATTTCTTATTTATTATTATTTGTTATTTCTTATAATTTTTACAAAACATATTTGTGCAATATTTGTGTAATTATTTTGCAATTTAAAATGCAACGAACATATTTATCCGGCGCGGAAAAGCGAAAACTGAAAGTACAAAAGGAAAAAAGAAATGATCTTCAAAAAAATTCCTTGTCATCATATTTAATACGACCATCATTAAATCAGGATAATCCTCCCCAAAGCACATCAGAGCAGATTAACACGGCAAATCATGTTGAAATTAAAAATCAGGTAGACAACCTAGACGTGGGTGATAAAGTGGACGACAGAAAGGAACATCACACCACAAAATTTCCAAGTGATATTGCTTTGTGGCCAGAAAAAATAAGTGAAAGTATGATAGAATATTTCATAGTTAACATTCCCCAGAACTTTGGGAATATTGAAAATTTGAAAACCGAATTTGTTGACAGAAACAGAAAATACTTTAGAAATTTTACTAATGCTAATTTCTATTGCACTAAAGTTAATGGTTCTAAAGAAATAAGAGAATGGTTAAAGTTTTCAGACACGAGCAAATGCATTTACTGTTATGTATGTAAATTATTTTCAATGTTTTTTTTTTATGTTTTTGCAAAATATATATACTTTCTTTGCTGCATCTACAAGACGGTGGAATATTTTAACTGAATGCATGAAGGATAAGAATTCTAAAAGTATCAAGAGAATAATTGTTTTAGCTGTTTTAGCCCTAAGACTCAATTATCATGATATTTACCAATCGTTGATAAAGGTAACCACAGATCCCAATGAAAAACCAATTTCAAAATTAGAAGCAAAAAAATTATCAAAAGAGTTCGATCAATTTGAGACGGCACTGTTAACAATTTTCTGGAACAAACTCCTGCAGAGAATCGAAATTACCAGCAAATACTTACAGGAACCAAAGACAAATATTCTTAATAGTGTTAGTTTATTAAAATCATTAAACGAATTTATAACAGAGGTCAGAAATAATTTCGAAACTGTTGAAGAGGAGGCTAAATCCCTAACAGCTCATCATTCTTATAAAGAGATGAGACAAAGAAAACGCAAATATCCATATGATGAAACGAACAAAAATGATACAGCATTTTCGTCAAGAAATTTTTTTATTGTCAACATTTTTTATATTGTATGTGATGTATTAACATCAGAAATTACTCGAAGGAGCGATGTCTATATCAATGTTCTTAACGATTTTAAAATTTTCTTTGATTTAAAATTAAGCCGTGTTGAGACTAATAATTGTGTAGAGCGATTATTGTCTAAGTATGAAAAAGATATTGAGCCAGAATATTTCACTGATGAGTTAAATCATTTTCTAAAATACATACAAGAAGAAAATATTAGAGATCCACATGAAATGTATGCAACATTAAATAATGGTCTAAAATCAACTTTTCCAAATATACACACAATACTGCAAATTTTTTTGACCTTGCCCGTTTCTAATGCAAGTGGAGAAAGGACATTTTCAGTTTTAAAACGAGTCAAAAACTATCTGCGCAATAGTCTTTCACAAGAGCACTTAAATGACTTCGCATTAATGTTCATAGAAAATGATATTTTTAAAAAACTAGAGTACGACAAAATTATTGAAATCTTTGCCCAAGAGAAGGCAAGAAAAGTAAATTTGTAATTTGCATTTAAAAACGATTACCGTTTTTGAGCACACGTACGATGAACTCGAGAATCAAGATAGCATTGAAAACGATAATCCCATCGCGGATAGTATGGCAGAAAATTTTACCTGTGATATTTCGCACTTAACGCACAACACCTGGTCCATCGCGAAGAGCGAATCGGAAGATAATCCATTAAATTTTGGAATAGTGCGTGTGGATTAGGCCTGCTGGGGATACCACGATAAAAAAAAACGCGCCACGTACTCTACCTCATGGTGGTGTGGAAATGAGTTTTTGGCACAAACGAATGTTGAAGTAGACTTTGCGGCGCCCCTACGCTAATACTATTAATTTTACTGGGCTAATAACCGTTTTTGAAAATTTTCGGATTTCGGGGCCCCAAACTTGATTTGCGCCTAGGGCCCCACTGAAGCATAATCCGCCACTGAGGTCATCCCTGCATCCTTGGCGTCTATAAAAAATACTTTTTGTTTCGTTCTAAACGCGACCATCGCTCGAAGTGAAACAAAAAGTATTTTCCCATGCGAAAAGGATGCGTCCGGCGCGTCGGTCGCGACGGATGCCGAAACAGGTTCATCTTTTTGTTCTTGGAAGATGCGTGGCGTAGGAGGCGAAAGGGCGCCCACAAGGTTTTTTCACATTCATTCAACACATGTCAGACTTACTTTCTATTCATACCTACGGTCTTAAAGATGAATTTAATTTATTTGTCATCATCATCAGCGCAATTTAATTTACTTCTGTGAATTAATGTCATAATTACATGAGAATTATATATTTAATCGTAATTTTTCACAGGCAAAGTAATTTTATTTACTTTTGAAATCTAATATAACATTTATTATCTTAATTTTATATTATAGTCTAGTTGCCAATCATGGAAAACTAGTAAGAATTTAAGAATTTCTACAATTTTATGAAATATTTGCGATTCTGTTAAATAGATGGCGCTACAGTATGGATAAAAACAATTATGAGAAAGATGAACACAATTGGCAACAGTTATCGTCATTACTTAAATAATCGCACAGCATGCCCTGCAAACAAAATTATATTTATTGTCCCGTTTATTAAACCGTTCAGTCATCGTCTCGTCGCCATTGGAGTTGACGCCGCGCATTACGTTGGTAACACGTTTTTCGTTTCCAACACAGATTTGTGTTTCCAACGATTCCAAGTTTCCACGGAGCTGAACCTAGTGATTGAACTCAGCAATTATTAAGAAACTATTCCATAAATTAAAAGGACTAAGTAAATACAAGTACGCAACATTATATTTTCCAAATAAACTGTTTGGATATTTTTATTTTGAACGTTCAAAACCGCATAAAATGTCATATATTGCCAGTTGGGATAAATAGTAATCTGTAATATTTGAATACCTGTATTATATAAATGTCCTTTTTTGTAGTTGCAAAGTGGTCGTGAAGATGTCGCCCGAGTCGCCTTCTGTTTCCGTGCGCTCGTTGCTGTGCTAATCGATACAAATGCCTTCGCGATAATCGCGATCCTACGGCACGATCGAGCATCGCGTGCGAGTGCTGGAAATCGTAGATCGCCGCCACCCAGTGCCCGCCAGGAATCGCAGACGACGACGTCCTCATCAGCGTGTGCAACCCCGCGAGCGGCCGGCGTCGCGACGCCTGTCTGTGCCTTCGTCACGCGCGCATCGCAGCTGTCAAACACGCACGGGCTGGCCCGCGCCGCACCGCTGTCCACTCGTATCCTTGGTGACTAGCCAGTGCCTAGCAACCGATACAACAACACGGCGACAAAAGGTGAGGAGCGTTTTTCTAATTTTTCTTAGCAGCCTCTGTAACACCTTTGATTGCCGATTGTTTTGTTGGCGGGTTATTGCCTGGGGTTGAGTGTGGATTGTGTTTTTTATTTGTATTCGCGACCGGCGATTATGTGCTACAGACTGCACATGAACTTGACTGTTCGTGGATGGCGATAGATAAAACGTTAAAAATGTCTATTTAATATTTAATACTACAAAATTATTATAATATATTAATTTATATTAGTATAGTACAAGAATCTACGTACTTGTCAATATATTTTTTTTCATAATAGGTAGATTTGAATGAGTAAATTCAAAAAATTCGAATTAAATCGCGACAAAACCAAAAAAAATCATATTTTTTAAATTTAGGCTTAATTTTTTTCTTGTGCGAACGAAATTATTTACTTTTTACAAAATTATTTAGGATCCAATATTAAAATTTAATTTTATCACGATTTTTATACGATTTTTGAAGCCTTTGTTTGCCGTTTCTATAAATATTACTTTCGTGCTCTTTTCTTGAGCTTACTACCCTTTGGAATTTGCACCGATCTACTCGGAGGAGTGTTACTATGGAGTCTTCCTGAGAGGAGCTGTCACTATAGTGACTAAAATGAAGCCTGGTGCAAAGGGGCCAGGAGTAATAACAGTCCTAACAGCTATATAAAATTCAAGCGACTGTATTTATAGGACTAGCCTCGATGCTATTGCACTATTCGCCGAATTCCGATTTTTATTTCAATATCTTCTGAACCTTATCAAAGAAAGTACATATGTAGTGGATATACTTTATTAGGTTAGGTTGCAGGCCTGCATTGTTTGTCACAGTGGCGAGCAGTGGCAGTTGAGCTGCTTTCAGGCTGCAGTATTTTTGGAAATAAAAAAGATTCACATTGAAAGTGTGATGGTGGCGACAGTCACCCACCCTTGGCTGGTACCAGTGCGTACCTGTAACCAAATTGGTTTGTTAGCCGCGCGACTGCAAGCCCTGCACTGACTCTGGCCTGCACCCTTCGCGTTTTATCATGACTCAACGGTCACAACAAACGCACCCACGCACTGCCAGGTGGGAGCCGCGACAACGCATGAGGGCAATATTCACCTCATTCAATGTTCTAACCAGGTGTAATACAGCCAGTAGGTGCATTATTAGTCTAATCTGCCCTTGACTAACATTTGATCATTTTACTTTCAGTGCTGCTGCTGCTGCTGCTGCTTACTCATTGAGGACACTTGGAGAATAAGGACAGTTGCAGGAGACACTGAAGCTGGAGCAGGAGATTGAAGTGTATCGCTGAAAGGAAGGGTCTCTGCGCAGTGAGAGAGAGTGTAGTCGTGGAGACTGGCCATGGCAACAGCAGCTCGGTTTGCAAGCAGCACAGCTGGTGGTGGTGGTGGCAGCAACCCGCCTACTCCGGCGCCGGCAACCACGCCGCCAGCGCCAGCAACCACGACGACGCAGCTCATTGTCCTGCCTGCTGGTTTGCATCAGGTAAGAGATGCCAATACATTTACCAACTGTGTATTTTCACTTTGTAGTCGTATCACACACACCTCCCTCAAAAAGCGCCTTGTGGAGGTGGCTGGGTTTTCATATTGATTTTGATTGTCAGAATCTCTTGCTGCTGCTGCTGGTTCTTTGTTGGGCGGGCAAAGTTCGCGTTTCGTTTGTTTCGTTGGATTTTGTTCAATTTTTTCCTCACTAACGATATATGATTTTAATTGCAAGAGTGCCACTGCGACGATTGTGAACGCGAACGGCGTGCCGGTGATCGACGTGTCGGAGCTGGAACACGGCGGCGAGTCGAGCAACGAGAGCACCGCGACGACGGAGCCCCGCGGCGGCGAGTCGCACGAATCGGATCCGCTGGCGCTCGGTGAAGAATCGCCACATTTCATCACTGTGACTGGTAAGTTTGGACCGCTAATTATTTCATACGCGTTTGCTTTTGTCTGCGCTGACGGCAAGTCTTGTCCAACTTGTTTTCCTTGTTGTCAACTGCAAATCTTCTTCTGTTAATGCTCTCGCACGCGTTATCAGAGGCAACTGCGCGCTCGTACGCTTCGCTAACGCCCGTACAGCCAACCGTAGGTAAGTTAAGCACAGAAAAGTACAGAATTTTTTTACCACAAAAAGTTTGTTTATTTTTTTTTGCTCTAATTAAATTTATAATTAAACCATGGTAATGGAGTAATAGGGGGTGGGATAATAATTGTATCGTCTTTGTGTCAGGAGGCGGGTGGCGTTCAAAAGGGGATGTTTGTAATTTGCTGCCTTAATCACCCAATCACCCCTTTTAATCATCAATGCACGTGTTGCACGTGGCGAAAATGTTTTGTTCACCTGAAAATAGATACACTATTATCGCGCAAACTAAAAATATAACATCCTAACTTACCAGACGTCATAAAACTTACAAAAATTATTAGAAATGTTTAAACTTTATCGTATTTTTCTATATTTTTCTATATATTACTCATCCAGGTATTCTATTTAACAATAGGACTGCCAATAACCCTATTTGTAACACTCGAATTAACCCGGATTTACCTTTGGTTAGGGCAGGGGGTTTGTTACAAGTTCCCCTTGTAACTGTTCATATGTAATCCTTGAACCCCTATCTATGGGATGTCTCCCGTTTGATTTTGATTTTACCTGGTCTTTACATGATCTTTACTAGCTGTTACTCATCGCCCTTGCACCCTTGTTGTCCACCTGCACTTGCGTTTGCACTTGCATCAATTGATTGGATGCGGCACGCACGTGCTTGATATTATCTGCACGGCGCTTTGATGCCTGATTAGAGCACGTAATAAAAAGCATTGTCGGCTGCCCTTTCCTCTTCTTCGTGATTTCGTTTCGCGAGGTAAGAGGATATGAGTATGATGTGCACTGACGACAGTCATGGATGCATTCGGAGGTGCACCTTGTCTGGATGCGATTCAGTTGCCATCGAAACGTCGTCCTGCTAACTGCCTCGCGAAAAGCAGCAAATACAAAGTGACAAGCGGTGGTGATATTTGATAGCAATCCGGAGTGTTCAGATTTCATTACACATAGAAACGCTATTTTATTATTTCATTTGTTGTGACCGATGTATTGTAATAAATATCACAATCATAATCATTATGGTACGCGTGTTTGCATATTTATTGCAAGATAAAGTTTCTATAGTTATTAATCTAGTTGCAAATGTAGGTAACAGTTGATTTTATTGTTTTAGACGGAGAAAGTGTGGCTTCGCATCAAAGTTATCACGTGCAATATGTGGATCCGGAGATGTATGCGTCTCAGACAAATGGTGGCCAAGCACAAATGTAAGTTTAGGATTTAATATTTTCCCAAGCAAATTTATTTTATTTATTTTGTTGTTAAATTTTATATCCAGGGCGTACCCGGTGTACACTGTAGGAGAATCCGGGACAATTTACGCTGCAAGTCAAGCGCAATACTACGCAACAAACGCAACCAACCCTGGCGCATCCACCACCGTTGGATATGCCACTACAGCCGGACATTATTTGGTGCAACAGACTGTCGATGCAGATGCGCTCATAGCTTCTTCAAGAAATTCACCTCAAACTACAAATGCTGTAAGTTCAATTAATTTAAATACGTTTCTATAACAGTATCGCTTAAGTTTTAGACTAGTTAACTTAGTTATTTATATAGTTGTTTGTTGGTTTAGTTTTTCATTAAATTTGTTTAGTGTTTGTAAACAAATTATCATTTGGTTTCTAAGTCTTCGTCTCTCGTTTATATTTGGTGGTTTTGCTTTGTATTTTATTTAGTTTTTGAGATTTATCGCTTAATATTGCTAATTTGCTAATCGACCAATGTAAATATTAATGTTAATTGTGGCTTTGGTGTACTTTCTCTTGGAATTCATTCTTCTAACGCAAAACACTATGGGGGTATTGATATAACCTAGGAGACGAGTTATGTGGCGACAGCCACTGTGCATGCGACGCCGTCGGCGGTGGGCGAGGAGGTCGGCTCGGCTCTGAGTCACGCCACCAGAGTCTCGCCAGCGACCGTAAGTTCTTCATATCCAACTCTTAACAATTAATTACCTTCACCTCCCGATCCACCCTCGAATCAATTTCACACCCAGCAATTCCTATGCGAATTAAACATGTGATTTTCTCTTTGATAAAAGGTGCAATGGTTGTTGGAGAATTATGAGACAGCCGAAGGTGTTTCACTACCCAGGTCAACACTGTACTCGCATTATCTTCGTCACTGCGGAGAGAATAAACTAGAGCCGGTGAACGCTGCGTCGTTTGGGAAGTTGATTCGGTCGGTGTTTCTGGGGTTGAGGACGAGAAGGTTGGGCACGAGGGGCAACTCGAAGTATCATTACTATGGGATAAGGGTAAAGCCAGGCTCGTCGTTGACCTCGGTGGAGGACTCGACTGGGCGGACTATGCCTGCTGGTGGAGGCGGTGGGGGAAAGTCTTCGACGAGGGGTTATAAGCGAAGCGCTGATTCGATGGAGCAAGGTTTAAATCCCGGCGTCACTCCACAGCATTTGAATTATTTGGGAGATGGTAGCAATGCTATTCCGCATTTTCCCGATATCAACTTTTCGGCGCCATTGCCCGATGAGTGTAGTTATGATGATGTGGATACTTTAAAGTAATATTACTTAAATGTAAGAAATTTACAGATTTTTAAAATTTTATTTCATTTTCAGATCAATTTACCGTGAACATCTTGAAGCTTTCCTCGACGCCATTTTGAGTTTAGAATTTGGCACAATTGAATCCCTCTGGCGTGAGTTTTGGCGATCGCAGGATAACAACAATGGCGACGAATGCGAAGAAGAAAAATACCTCTCGAAAGCGAAATTGTTTGCGATGTGCGCACAGGAACCTATGCAAGACTTTGTGCGCCAAGTTGACCTCGCTTTCTACCAGAATCTAATTCAGGTTCTAGTCCCCGACGTGCTCAAACCGATTCCAGCGTCGCTCACACAGTCTATTCGCAATTTCGCCAAGAGTTTGGAGTCGTGGCTGACGACTGCAATGACGGGTGCTCCGCCTGGCATGCTAGCTGTAAAACTGTCAGCGGTTTCAGCTTTCAGTTCTAGTCTGAGACGCTACACATCGCTTAACCACCTTGCGCAAGCGGCGCGTGCCGTTTTGCACAACAGCACGCAAATTACTCAAATGCTAGCGGATTTAAACCGTGTGGACTTTCAAAGCGTGCGAGAGCAAGCGTCGTGGGTCTGTCAATGCGATAATGAAATTGTCGCCAGGTTTGAGGCCGATTTTAAATTGACGCTGCAACAACAAAATTCATTGGAGCAGTGGGCGTCCTGGTTGAAGAATGTGGTAAAGAGTGCGCTGAAGCCGTACGAAGGGAAGCCTAACTTTTCAAAGGCTGCGCGGCAGTTTTTGTTAAAATGGAGTTTTTACAGGTGAATATTTATATGTTTTTCATTATAATATAGATACATTATATTTCATTATGTTTGTAAATCTAGTTCAATGGTGATTCGAGATTTGACACTTCGATCAGCGGCGAGTTTCGGTTCGTTCCACCTCATTAGGTTGCTTTATGACGAGTACATGTTTTATTTGATTGAACATCAAGTCGCCGAGGCTACAGGAATTGTTCCAATCGCAGTGATGGTCGAAGGAATTGTAAGCTGAATAGACCTCGTATATGCTTAATGTGTTTTTTCGTTGTTCTACTTTAAATTACAGAAGCAGGATATTATGTTGAACAATATGAGCGTGTATGGCAGCGAGGCGATGTGCAACGGCAACTCGTCGATGACAGCGAAGCTGGGCTGCGTCAGCCCGTCGGATCCCACGAAACGCATGAAGATCAGCTAGCTGCACGCTGGCAACACCACCAAGTACATAATTACATTTCCCTAGTATTGTAAGGCGTGTGTTAACATACAAGAATTAGCTGTTAGGGACGATTTGTGTCGAGCGAGAGCTACCCACCGAAGAAAATATTTTTCCACGATAATTCACACGATGTTCCTGATTTTTCTAACGTGTACAATATGTATTTATTTTATTTATTCGACAGTGTGGCGTGAGAGGAACGCACGAGCAGTCATTCGAAATTAATGTTTTTGTTAGATTTTTAACATGGTTTGTGCAATTTTGACTGAAATCATAACTTTTCTGTTTTTAATTCGGTTTTGACTGATTATTATTATGATTATCCGCTTGCAAGTATGTATATTGAGTATAGAAATGATAAGGATATAATGTGTGATTGTTTGTTAGGTTGTAAGCTTGCATTGAGTTAATGAAGGAGTACGCGGAAAACTACTCTTCTAATGTGAAGATTGTATTTGGTGTTTACGAACAAGTTGTGTGTCGCGATGGTTTGTCATTTGTAATTTCACTTTGGTTTGCTTTTAAACCAGATGCCACGACACGGCACAAAGGAATTGGTGCCAAACACGTAAACGACTTACGAGATTTTCTAGGCATAAATCACTGCTGGCACAAATTGCACCCGGTGGCATCTGGTTTAAAGAGAACATGTGCCGCGATGAACGATGTTTAAAATGCGTCAACGCTCAAAAGTATAATCCATCCATTATAGTCTGTAACTGTAAATGATATTTTGTCACATATGATAAGTAACTAAATGACATTAACGTAAGACATAACAAAAATACGCAGGGTATATTATAATTGAATCAGATGAGGAGTGTCTCTAATGCAGGTTCTTATCATTCCGAATCATTTGCTGCATTTGGATTTTTGGATGACATTGTCGGTTGAGGAGAAGATTGGAGAATTCTCATAGAGTACAACTAAATGTTCACTATAATTGTAAAAATATTGTAAGTGTGTCTTTTGTATATGCGATTTGAGGATAAGTTCACACACACACGGTCACACCCTGATTCTAAATGCAACAAACCTATACAGGGTCTATCTAAAACTAGAAATATTCACGCAACTGCAGACTGGAATGATATCAAATCAACGCAACTGAAACTCGCATGTTTGTACACGTACATTTGAAACAAAACAATGAACTAAGAGAACAGAGAACGCAAACAAAAATTGTGCTGGTATATTGCGTTCGTTTCAAACGCACACTTATAGTGCATTTAACTACCGGATGCCTCTTGTACATTGAATTAGAGATATCAGTATCATCATACATAATCTGCGCATGTATAAATATGAAACAGAGATGGAATGTTATTCCGTATATTGCGTAAATATAATATTTTGTATTTTACACATAAAAGCTAAAAATCACAGAAATATTGAATATTGCGGACTGCAGAGCACGTTTTTGTGCGGTTTGCGGTCCGACTAGATATGGAAGTAGGCAGACAGTGAGTGGACTATGGAATAATTGTATTGATATTTATTGATGTGTGTGGTTATGCAATTTGCGCAAACGACTCTTGAAAGTTAGTTGTGTGCTTTGCCCCAACGAAAAAACCTAGATGTGTTGTACGATAAATTTGAATTTGGGAATCTATCTTTTGTATTTTTCAATGACAGTTTTTCAATTTTTTGTTATGGATTTCGTTACAAGCGAGCACGCATTTTGTAATTCTTGTATTGATGATGCTGTATTTAAAGATAGCAAGCAACTTGAAACGTGATTTTGCAAATTTTACCAAATACTATGATTTCATTCGGTGCGATTACAAATAACGCAACAATAAAACTAGTCTTGTGTTTAAATTTATCTGAGGGTGTATATATTTTAAAATAAGGTTTAATTGAGTTTCCTTTGTTACAGTAGTTACAATATGCACCCCACGTGGCATTGCGCCACCATCTGTAAAACAACATTCTTTCGGTGATTTTAAGGGACATCCTCAATGAATTATTTCTATGTGGAAGAGGAGAAGCTACGACATCGAAAGAAACACCCAAGGCGATGCGTGTGGACTTCATGTTAGAAATAATGCCGGAAAAGATGGCGCCCATAAATACAACCAAAAGGTGCTAGTCCTGACAATTAGAGAGCCGCCGCCATTGATAATTCCAAGATAAGGTAAGCCGTCACGATCATTTCCTAAATTAACACCAAAATTTTAACAAACCTTTGTTGCAATCAGTAAAAGACAAAGAGAAATACGAAAAATCAAACTTATTATTAACGTACAAATGTTAACAGTAATGCAATACGCTTAAATAATAGAACTAATCACTGCCACTTTCGGAATCGGTACTCATCTCTTCCTCTTCGTCATCATCATCTTCAGATTCACTCTTAGATCTCTTTCTGCCCTTAGAAGCCGGCTCACTTGCCTTCTTCTTAGGCGCAGCCTTTTTCTTCTTATCGTCATCACTACCGCTGCTGCTTTCATCACTCTCGATATATTCCTTGCTCTTAAATCCAGACTTTGGTGGAGAAACATTCACCGTCTTCTTCTTAGCTGAGGAACTCGATGACTTCTTATCCTCCTTATCGCCACCCTTTTTAGCCCCACCAGAGGCTTCATACTCTTTCATCGCCTTCGCATATTCTTCCTTTGCCTTGGCGGCCTTCGCCTCCCATTCGGACTTACTCTTCAATTCCTTCCACATCTCACCACCCTTCTTCGCAATCTCAGTCACCTTAATACCGGGATTATCCGCCTTGATCTTTTCGCGTGTATCGTTCAACCAAAGCATAAACGCGGTGGAGGGACGCTTTGGTTTGTTGGAATCTTTCTCCTTCTTTTCGCGCTTCTTACGTGGTTTTTCACTGACGGTCTTAGTCTTTTTCTTCTCTTTCTTTTCCTTTTTGTGTTTCTTGTCTTTTTTCTTGCTACCGCCACCACCTCCGCTATCAGAACCAGATTCGGATGTATCGCTGTGATTGCTATCGAACTCCTCTTCAACTTCACTTTCTTTCTCAGCATCAGGATTAAAGTCATCGTCGGTGGACTCATCATCATCTGGATCGTCATCATCATCACGCTCTTGTGCCTCGGCTTTCACCCTCTCCAAGTATGCATCCGGCTCGTTTTCGTTATCAGAATCGCCAAAGTCATCCTTGTAGCTGGCTTTATCATTTTTACCACGATTCTTAACATTCAGCTTCTTATTCGTGATAAAATCAAACAACTTCCCATACTCTTCCTTTTCAATACTACTAAAAGTATGAACCGTTCCACTTTTCAGCTCTACCTCGAAATCAAAACTCCTCGTGCTGCCACCTCCACGCGCAAAATTCACCGAAGCCACCTCCTCGAACCTAATGTGAATAGGCGGTTTATGCACGTATATAAACCCTCTTTCCAACGGGTACAAATACCCAGCTGCCGCTTTAAACGAACAGGAAACCGCGGGTGTTCCTCCATGTCCTTTAAATCCTCCAGGTCCACTAATCTTCCTATTAATAATAACTTTCATAATTTTTCCTAAAACTTCATGTGTCGGGCCGGAGATCTCCTTCTCTAATTTCCCTTCGTATTTTTCTTTTAATTCCTCATCAGTGAAAGGCAACTCAACGGTTGCTTCCTCATCTTGACCAAAAAGAAGTACCAGAAAATGATATCTAGTCTGTCCTTGTTTTATAGGTGGATCAAGACTCACCACAAAGAACATCTGCCGGGAATCATTATGAGGTAAAATGAACAATCGCAGGACAGTGGACATAGGAATTTTATAATCGAATGTTTTGCCGTGAAGTTGAAAGAACGAATGGAAGATTTTAATATCATATCGTCCTCTAGGTGTGAGGCATTGAATCTCTCTGAAGATGGCGATTGCGTCTCCGCTGACACTGATGACGGATGCCTTCTGCATTACTTGCTGTTGGAAGGCCTCGACTGGATCAACGTCGCCAGCGAGTTCACTCGACGGAATAAAGAAGCGCATTTCCATTAAACTCACGGGCGCATCATCGTTCTGGTGGAACTCCATGGTGATTTCATTCTTTCCCGTGTTGCATTGTGAGACGTTATTCAGGGGAATCTCAAACGCTGATTTAGTATCGACGTCGAAGCTTAGCACAGATCCGTTGAATTTAGCTGTACCCCAATTCCAGCCGCGCAAACTCAACTCCTTCTCCAGCATGTCTTTTTTGTAAGTATTAGAGAAGAATTTGGCGATTTTCTCGCGGTCGGTGTCTTTGAAGCCGGTGTAGCGGTGTAGTGTGCCATTTTTTAGAAAGATTCGGATGCCGATTGAGCCGGCAAAGTATTGAAAGTTGACCATTTCCATGTCTGAGGATTGGATTTGATCAACTTTACCGGTGCGGCTGTTTTTGAACGCGATCGATGAGTCCGTCATTTTAATCTTGCCGGTGGTCTGAAATAAATCAGAAAAATATTAGGCCCATAATTTAATTTATTAGGTAATTTATAGTTTATCAAATACTAAAAACGCAATACCGAAATTACTAAATTTAAATAAAAAAGGTAAAACGTACCATGCATCCTTTAACTTCGGAGGAGATGTCCGAATACTCCAGGAAATCCATTTTGAGATGCACAATTTTGATAATCGAGTTTATTTTATATAAGTTAACAGAAAATACTGGCCGACAAGCGGCGTGAGTACGACGTAAATAACAGCTCGCTGTTTTGAGGTTAAACTCGCAAGATGGTGGCATGAAATTGGCGCTATTTCATAACGCAATGAAATATTGATAAAAACAAGGAAACTACAGTAGTAAACAAAAGATAATTTGCAGCAAAACAAAGTTTTATTTTCTCAACACTTATAGATAGTTTAAAGTAATATTTAAATCCATTTCTTTCTTCTCTTTTTCAAATAATAGTTTGAAAACACTCGAAAGCTCCGCTATTTTGATCACTCGTGAATGATCGGGTATTCGAACATAACCGATCAAAATTATCTCGATTTGATTTTTTGCACAGTACAAAGAACAACTTTTTATTTATACTTTTAGACAACAATAACAAAGCATATCAATTACTTTATTTCTTATTACATACATTTACATTTGATTGATGCAATTTAAAATTATTTAATTAACATATTAGCAGTAAATTCTAGTAACATGCAAGCAAATGCGCATAAATTAACATAAATATAATATTTAAACAGTATTTACGGTAAAATTCCATAGATGCAACATCTTGAGATGCCTCTAGCATCAATTTCAATTAATCTATTTATAACAGGCGTTTCGAACATAATCACGCCCTCATTTTCTACTTCAAACGCTTGAAACGTTGAAATTCTTGAAGGACTCATCGCAACGCTTAACATTCTTAACGTATGAGCGCATATTTCCCAGCTGCAGGCCACTGCAGTTCATATGAGAACAAAAAATGTATGACTAAAACATCATGCTAATTAATGATGTAACGATGCAGAACAAAACAACTGTACAAGCATAAGTCATTCGTCATTCAATAACTCATTCATTTGATGATTACATGCTTTACACGCCGCACACGCCTAACGCCTTAAACATTCAAGTATGTGTAATTGTGTTTAATCCAGTGGTTTTTATTTATAACTCGCGCGATTGAGTTCGCGTTAAATTGAAGCGATTCAAGCGTTGAGCCACACCTGCACATCATTTGCCTAACTCGCGCGTGCATTAAACATGGCCGACGCCACTCGATCGGCGTTCGTTTGTTTGGTTTGTTTGTAAACAGACCAAACAAAACGCGGTCGCGGACGGTTACGTGAGTGCGTGAGATTTACTCCCCAAATACGTAATAATATCGGCGAATTATTAATAAGATGGCTTGTTGCGGGTGTGCCGACGACGAGGAAAACGAGGAAGTGACCGAAAACGGTGTGCGATCGTGCACGGACGTCTTCTGGCTTTTTCTATACATTGTGTTCTGGTCATTAATGGTAAAAAAATTCATATTTTTCTGTTATAACTTGAATAAAACTTTGAAAACTATTTTCAGTTATTGGTAGCGGCGTTCAGCTTTGTCTACGGGAATCCGATTCGTATTATTAATGGTTATGACTCGTTTGGCAACACTTGTGGCACAAGACACAACAAGAAACTTGCAGATTTGGAGTTGTCAGGCATTGATACATCAGATAAACCGTTTCTACTCTTTTATGACATTCAAAGTCTTAGGCAGAGTTTGAAAATATGTGTGAATAAGTGCCCAGCTGAGAATCTAAACAGAGTTGAAGATATTCACAATTATTACAGGCAGACAGGGCAGAAAATCTGCAAGTATGATTTTAATTATCAAGATTTTACAAATCCAAGGATTACGGACAAGAGAGGACTTTCTGGGACTTTTGGACCTTGTCCTGTTGTTCCTGTTTATGCCAGGTGAGAAACAATGAAGAAGTAGGTTAAAGAGTTGATTATAAATATATAATTAGCAATTAGTTGTGTCTATTGAGACCAACATCCTTCTAAATGATTAAAATATGTGTCAATAATGTGTGTTCTGATGATTTTTTTATTGATTTGAAATTATTGTGTTGTAGTACACCTGTGCTCAATCGTTGCGTTCCGAAGCCGATCAACGAGCTCACACAGGGCGTTCTAAGCGATTTTTACGGCCTATTAAATAGCTGGGACACTTTGGAGCAGATTTTAGGCGATTTGATGAATACGTGGAAGGAGATTCTTGGACTCACGTTTTTAGCTCTATGTAAGTTTCAATTTTATAACATTTTAAAGTATTTATTTCGGGAAAAGAAACGTATAATTATTACTGAACTATGTAATTACTTGGAATAACTTGAAATAATTGCTTGGTCAGGAAAGTATGTCGTTCTAAATTTACTGACAAATTTGTACTTCTTAGTTCATGACTTTGTTGTTCACACATGTGCAAGTAAAGTTGCCTATCTTACATAGAAGTAATAACGATCAAGTTTTGTATTCAAAACATGTTGAGAGGATTTAAACTTTAAACATACAAGTTATAACATAAGATATTATTGATTTTATTAATTTTTAATTTCTTTCAGTGTTATCATTATTCACGATATCAATATTGCATCTGCTCGCTGCGTTGGTTTCCTACATAATAATGATCCTTGTGAGTGTGGCCAGCATCGCCGGCACTGCCTTCCTGTGGTATACATACGTGGACATTCGCAATAATCTGGACAAAACCAACAAAGAAATGCTGCTTTTGGAGTCGGTGCGCAACGAAACCGCCTTCTTTTGGTATTCCATCATCGCCACAGTCATCACCGTGATAATTTTATTGTTAGTGGTAGTAATGCGTAAGAAAGTTGATTTTCTCGCGGATTTATTCAAAGAAACATCCAAATGCGTTGCACATTTACCAGGATTGTTTCTTCAGCCGTTGATTACATTCGCATGGTTATTGGCGTTTTTCGCGTTTTGGGTTTTTGTCATTGTAAGTATTTTGATTTTGTTTCTTATTGAGTGTAAGCGAATTATGCGTGATAATATTTATTTGTTTTTAGTTATGTTTAGCAACATCATACTATCCGGGAACAACTGGTATTGCTACCACAACTGATGCTACTGGTGTGAAAATACCAGAACCAAAGCTTGGCATTATGGATCGCATTGAAAACTTAACTTTTTCGAATCTTAACAGTAAGGAACTTTCAAAATTTCATACTTAATTACAACCTAATCTTATTTTAAAACCTCTAGAAATGACAATTGTGGAATTTATTGACCCCTCTTGGGTGAAATACATGTGGTGGCTCTACTTCATCGGCCTAATTTGGACATCCGAGTTCATTATGGGTTGTCAATCGATGGTGATTGCCGGTTCGGTAGCGCATTGGTACTATCGACACAAATACAAGTCAAATGATCATGTTATCTACGCCATTTGCAAACTTATCAAATATCATCTCGGTTCTGTTGCGAAGGGTTCTCTGCTGATTACAATATTTAAAGTTCCAAGATTGATCATGATGTATATCCAACAAAAGTAAGTTTCTTTTTTATTGAGTGAGAAATTAGATAATTAAGTGATTTGTTTTAGATTAAAACGCAGCAAGGATGAGGGCGGAGCATGCGCGGATTGTTGTCTGAAGGGTTGCATATGCTGTTTCTATTGTTTGGAGAAATTTATACGGTACATCAATCACAACGCATACACAGTTATCGCTATAGATGGTGTCCACTTTTGTAAAGCAGCCAAAACTGTAAGTCGCCATTTTGGAGTGTAATTGTATTGTATATAATTAATTATGTTTATTTTATATTTTTAGGCATTTGAGGTTCTGGTAAGCCACAGTTTAGAAGTGGCGACTATCAACAGTATCGGTGATTTTATACTATTCCTTGGCAAGTGTTTTGTCACATGCACCACTGGCATTGTGGGATTGTACATCTTCAGATTGAATACAAAACTCACCTTTTACGCGGCACCAACATTAATTGTGTGCATTTTCGCTTTCTTCGTCGCACACTGCATACTATCCTTATACGAAGTAAATTTTTATCATTTCATTACAATATATTCAACAAATATAATATTTCTTATTGTTTTTATAGATGGTGCTGGACACAGTGTACCTGTGTCAATGTCAAAATGGCGATGGGCCATCTGAAGTAATGCAGATGCACGCTATCCAACAGGTAGCAGCAGGAGCTCCGACCAATGGCAACACAGCGTCAGCAGCCGGTGAGGACGTCACAGATGAGGGTGATGAAAGCGACGTACAACGACAGGAGGTCGAACCCATTAAGTAACTTAACCTTACTTAAACTCGCTTTATTGATCAATTAAAGTCGCTTAAACTGCCACAAAGAAGAAAAAAGAAACGCATATTTAGTGCCTTGCTACGGATTGCACAAGAAATGCAAGAGAGAAATAATAATTTATATGATGCGAGGTAAGTTTTAAAACTTTTTTGAATCCAAGATTTTCTAAATTTGCTCATTTACTTACTTAATGAAGCCATCCAGTCATATATTTTACGTATAATTTAGCCATAAACACAGCCAATAAGATATAATCAGTATTGTTATGAATAATCAACCGCATTTATTAGTTTTATTATTACCAATACGCGACATAACCACTCATAATCTACAAAGTGTATTTCGCACAATGTCTTACTCGAAACGTACTCAAATCTAACCTCAAAAGCGTTTATATTTTAATAACCTGCAGGTTGTAACAAAAAAAGATTTCTATTTATTCATATTATGGATGTTTTTAAATGTTTAATGTTTGATAAATGTCTATGTAGTATTTATAAATGTTTACAATTTACATTTACACTGATATTGTAGTCGGCCTAAACGCCTGGGACAAATTAGTTTTACACAGAGTTTATGCTTGTAGAGATAAAGTTGCACGGACAACTTAGATTGTATAATGATGGAAATATCGTAAACAACTTGTAACAATGTGTTTGTGTAGTATTTATTGTTATTGTGGAATTATTTTTTCAAGGCCTTCTTTTTCACTTTGGTGACCACCTTGGTTGCTTTCTTCATTGGTTTTATTATTTTTGTTGTCTTTGTTGGTTTGTCCAAAGATTTCATCTTTTTTAATGTATCCATTACATTTTTTATGTTTATTTTTGCTTCTTCCTCAGGGATATCTTCATCCTCATCAATATCATCATCATCGTCGTTGTCTACATCACTAGCTTCATCAAAATCATTTTCATCATTCTCAAGTTCATCACTATCATCACCATTTTGAACACTTTCTTCTTCCTTTTTGCTTTTTCGTTCCAATAACTTCCTATTCCTCTCCATTAACTTCTCCTTTTTCTCTTTTAACTTATCTTCTTTAGCCTTTTGCACCTCTAACTCCTTTTGAATAGCCTGTGCTCGTTCATATGCGTCTCCCTTAAAGATGTCTTCCAATGGTGTCACTTGGAAACTCTCCTTGGGTTTGGTCGCCTCTGCGTGTAGTTTCTGTTCTTGTCTGTTGACGTATTTATTCTTTGCGACCAAATTAATCTGTTTTCGATGTCTAGAAGGACTCAAGTAGAAGGGATTCTCCCATAGCGCGGTACCTCCGAAACTTCCACTGAAAATCTTCACAGGATTCAAGACAAATCTGGGCCCAACTTCAGCCAACGCGCCTTCATCGTTGAGGATTTGGAAGTTCCTGAACCAAATGCGGTTGTCAAGCACGGTGAACGTGTAGACGTGATCGAAGAAAGGTTGACTCTTTGGGTGATGGTTAGGCACGCCAAATATTTGTGTCAGAAGTTCTTTGAGGAGTAAATAGTGTGGTTTGTCGGCGAATGTCGGGTCAAAACTTAGCAATGGACGAGAACCGCGAAGGCAGTTTCCAGTCAGTTTCAGTTCAGCCATGGTGTAAACTGGAAGAAGAAATATTTGTATACATCACAAACAGGTATTTTAACCAATAATTTTCTAATTATTAAGGAGTTAATTAATTGTTTGATAATTTTACTTGATACTTACTATTTTCAACTAAGAATTTCACACTTGGACCACTTGATACATTACTAAACCACAGATAAAGGTCCTTCCGTTTGCGACCTTCAAACAGAATTGCTTTGTTGCAATGTTTGATCTCACACATTTCATTAATAACGGATAACGTCTTGGAGCGCTCCATTTTTGCCTCAGTTTTGTGATGAGGCATCAACTTTTTAAGATCCTCCATCAAATGCCTGTCACGGAAACTAATACCACGTGCAGCAAAAACCAAAACCCTTTGTTTATTTGTCCATTTCGCCTGTAAAAATCAATATTAATAATACTTTTTTAATGATAATTTCTAATAGCATACTTTTGTTGGAATGAGATCATCGGACTTCCGTTTCGGTGGTAATGCGACGACATTTTCTTCCACAGCCGTTTCAACAAGCGCACGCTTTCGTTTTACTGCTTTTTTCACCATTTTATTAGTTTAAATAATTATTTCTGATACAAACACGAAACACGTGTGTTATTTGTGTTTGAAAATGTTTTGGGGTTAGTTTTGTGGTGCTCTGACCACATAAGAGGGCGCTGTATTAGAACTTGTGCTGTCAGGAAAGCATATCTGACACATCTGACAGATGACAGTTTCAGACAGTTGTTTTTGTTATCATTTTGCAACAAGCAATTTAACTTATTAATACAAGTTACAAAATCTAGATAATACTTTAACTAATAAAATGTTAACGTCTATGGTAAAAGAACACCATCAAAAACAAGTCGTACGCAAAGAAATCCAAGGTAATTAAATCAACATTACTTTTATCAATTTCATTAAATTTTCTGTAAATTACTAGAAACAAAGAGAAAAGAAGCATGTACATCTGCTTCCAATCTTACCCAGGCCTTGGTGGACCACTTAAATGTTGGGTATGGCTTTATTTTAATTTTAACAAACAAAATTTTACAATTTTTATGTTTTAGTGTGGCTCAAGCTTACTTAAATCAAAAACGCCTTGATGCTGAAGCCAAACAACTGCATACAAATGCTGCAAATTTCTCCAAACAGACCCAGCAATGGTTGACACTGGTTGAATCATTTAGCAGTGCATTGAAAGAACTAGGAGATGTGGAGAATTGGGCAAAAACAATTGAAGCTGATGTGAAAACCATCACTATGACACTGGAATCTGTGTACAAGAGCTCACAGGAACCAGTGGTGTCAACTAGTCAAGCCCCCAGCATATAATACGCATCATTTCCTAATATATTAATTAATAGGTTATGTATTCCATGCAAAAGGAGATTTTTATTTATATTTTGTTACTCGGTATATGACCTTGAGATGTGATTAGTCACTGCGAGAATGATTCACAGCTTTCACATTGAATTTGTTAAACCGTTGTTTTCTTTAAGAAAGATTATAAACCACAATGGTCGATAAATACGACGTTGATTCATTGATAAATCCAGCCAATTCGTGATTATACGTGGTTTTTGGTTTATTAATGATAAAAATCGAGGTGTTCCATCAGATGTGTTTTTTACTTTCTATGTCAATGTCAAACGGTCAACCTCTTGTGGTATTATTTAATCTTAGGCTAAATCTTGCGCGTTCAATGAACTAAATAATCAAAATAATAATGTAACTATTCAACCATTTTAAAAATGTGACGTTTTTATTGATTAGGAATGTTTTCAAGTGTAAATTCATGTAAAGAAAGTTTAAAATCGCTAAATTTCTCGTTTGTTACGCGCATGCGTATTGCCTGCGGACGGACGTGTGTGATGACTACAGAGCGGCCATGTTCTAGCGAGTCAAGTGCGTCAAGTGCTTTGCGAGACGTCAAATGCACGCAAAAACTAAGCGACTTCTCGCGAGTTCACGACCAGAATAAAACCCTTTAAACTGCCCCGTAAAAACCCAGCCTGTACATCTTATCGTACAATAGCTGAAGTGCATCAGAGTGTTTGCTTGTGAATACAGTTTACATAGTGACGAGTGTCTCGCCGCGCAACCGAGGATATTGAGGGCGAGCCAATTCCTATCCAAACTCGAGCGAGAACGAAAAATCATTCAGCAAAGATAGATATCGCATGCAAATCGACGATTACACACCGATTACAGTGCGTCGAAGAGTCATCGGATGTTCCATCGACGGTTATACGAGCGCAGGCGTGATGTGCGAAAGCATTGTTGATCAACAGCGGTCTAGCGTCTGATTTGTGATGAATCTGGCCTGGAAGCGCTGATTTCGAGGATTCCGTGAAGGATTCATGTGTGATATTATCATTTAGGTGAGTACTACATTTAAAATAACCTGTTTACACCTATATAGTTTCATAAATTCAATTTTTCATAATTTATTACTAATTAATTAATTATTCGAAAGTGCAACGTACTACGCTTATTATTTTGAATAGAATATATTCAAGGTTAAGTTTTACATATAATTATTAAAAAGAAAAGGTAGTAATTCATTTCGTGTTTATGTTATGTTTAAAAATGTTTAGTTTAACTTTTATTTACATATATGTGTTTATAGAGGCATTGAATTTAATGCAGAATAATTTCCTAGAAAAAATATTGTCATTTAGTGCGTTTTTCATGAATCAATGAAAACGCGCCGGAAAGTTGAGATGACACAGCGGCAGACAGGTCGGTTGTCCTTGTAGCTTCATTTATGCAAATTTCCGCCTGTACGGACCGTTTGGAGGTTGTTTGCATTAGCCTCGATCAGAGTTACGCACCGTATGTGCGATTCGTGAGTTATTGCAAGTTTTCTGCGTTGGAATTGAGGCCATTGTGGTTAGTCATCCCTCAGGAAAGAGGAGAAGCTTAAGAAGTGCACATGGTATACAAATTAGGGTCATAGATAAGGATTCTTTAAGGATTCTTAAAGTTCATTCATTTAAATTGCATTAACATAATGAAATTCTAAGAAATTCATTATTTTATAAAAGAAATAGATAGTTTTACAGTGTTTTTGAAATAGAAATTGTTTATACTCACGTTTCTGATTGAAAACATGGAGTTTTATTCATGTTATATAGTCAATAGGTAGTGATAAACAACTGTTAAGCTATTTTCACAAATAAAACTTGAAAAATTCGCTAAATGTTAGGCATTTCTGTTTGTTACTGACTTAGTAAATCAGACTGTAAGACATTTACGAATGGTTCTATCAGTGATTCACTGGGAACCATTGTCACGATTGTTACTATCGTTAATTGACATTGTTTATATCAGGCTTAATATTTCAAGTGTTTGTCCTTACTCACATTCATAAACAAGTTCTATCATGTCTGCTTTGTGTTTGCCTAATTCTATCAATAACTTTTTTATTAAACATTCGTTCGTTTTTAGTATTTGAGCAGAGCGGATTAAAATGCCTGGCCCACCGCCACCACCACCGCCATCGGGATGTCCACCACCACCAATGCCTGCCTTCGTCCCGCCGCCAGCCGGCAAGGGCGGGAAAGGCGGCGGCGACGAGCGTTCTGCATTGCTGAACGCCATTCGCAAGCAGCCGAAGTTGAATCGTGTCGATAAGGCGCTTATTAACGACCGGAGTGACCCGCTGGCGACGTCAAGCGCTTCCAGTAAACCTGCGGCGAAGGCGGGTGGATCACCAACACATGTGGGTGGTGGATCCATGATGAATGGACCACCGAATGGTCTCGGCGGGTTGTTTCAAGGCGGGATGCCTAAGCTCAAGAGTGTTAATGCTAGGAATAATACTGGTGTTAGCAGTCCAAGTTCACATTCTATGACAAGTAAGAAATATTTATTAATCAATGGAATTTTAACTAATATTGTTATTTATTCGTTAATGTGTTATAGATGGACCTGATTCAGCTCCACCATCGATGATGAACAACACGGGGAATTCCTTCGGTGATATTCAGAGCGAATTAAGGAAGAGGTTGAACAACGAGAGCAGGAATACAAGTCGAGGACCGGCGCCGCCAGCACCCTCTAGGAATATAACTGTAAGTTTTGTTTTAGCTAAGTATTCACACTGAAGTAACACTTTCCTTGGTGTTTTTCTTGAATTTTGATGTTTTTTTGTTGTGCAGAACGAATTATCTAGTCTGCAATCAAAGAACGGATATCAATTAAATAACAAAACGAACAATAGTCACTCGCTGCATCGAAAAACGCAGAGCAACGGCAATTTCAACACGCTGGATTCGCCAACGTCACGAAACAATAACCACACGCCCACGTCGACCGCAACCACACCGGCGAAGGGAAACTTCGGCAAACCGCATTTAGCACCAAAGCCACCGGTTTTAGGTACGTGCGATAATTTTACTAGAAATTAGTTGATTTCCTGGTTAGTTTGCGCATGTTTTTATTTGTTTTTATTTATTTTTTCGTTTGTTTTGCTGCGTGCGTGTGTGTGAAAATAGAAAAACCCACCAACACGCTGACCAATGGCAAGCTGCGCAAGTCGAACAGCGTGCGACTGTCTAGCTCGCCGCTGTCGGCCGCCCCCGCGCACTACAACAGCCTCAATCCGCTCGGCCTCACCGCCCACCAGCTGGACTCGGAGCGATCACGCACGCTCGGTGGGAGCACGCCGCACTTGTCGCAGATTAAACTTAGACCGATTAATGGTAGATATTTAGTGATTTTTTGCACGATTTTCTTTTGTTTTTTTACTTAAATTTGTGATTTTGATGATTTTGTTGGGTTGTTTAGGTCGTCCGACTGTACCACCTCCGTCGATACCGGCACAGAAGGTGAAACCACCTTCGCATGCTCCGCCTCCGCCTCCATCAGCAGCGCCTACCACTCCGCTGCCAGCGGCGCCTACGCATGCGCCTCCACCGCCGCCTCATAGGTCTGTTCCGCCTGTTCCGACGAGAGCTGCACCAGCCGTACGTAAAGTTTAACTTTTTTGCTTCAAAATTTATAATTGTTTTTGTTTTAGGTACCTACTATAGCCCCAGCTCCGCCTCCACGGAATTCCTCCATGCGGCCCTCGGTGTCAGCGTCCAGCTTTGAGAATCGGTACGTTTTTCGACCAATGGCCGACCTACCCCCACCGATGGCGTTCCGCAACGTGGAGAAGGTGTACAACACGGCGCGACAAGGTTAGATGTTAGAATCACGGTGACGGCATATTTGTTGTTTTTTTTATTATCAATTAATATTATCATTAGAAGTATTTAATTATTTACTTGTCGTGTAATGAACGCCTGAACTATGCGCAATGCAAACACACTATGCATCGTGCAGTAATGCAACACACTGTGCATGAATCGTAGTTGTTTTATTATTTGTTTGTTAATCACCTACAGTGCGTTGAACGTATTTTTTTAATTTCGTAAGCGCCCTCTTGAAGTACATGTAAAAGTATTCATTTTGAACATTTGAATAACGTAGTTCTGCATGCAATTTTGCATAATCACATTTATCCTTCATCTATTCATGTATTCACACCTTGATATTATTAACACGCTCAAACATTGGCACCAAAATTGCAGCCGGAAAGCAGCAGGCACCGCAACCACCCTCCGGGGGCGGCGTTCAAGTCGCGGCGGTGCCGCAGCAACAGCTGCAGCTCGTCGGCGGCCATCGGCTGTGGGAGTCGTCGACGTGCTAGCGTTTAACCAACCTGATTAAGCTCAATGCGTGCAATCTGACGTTTTTCAAATGACGACTCGCGCGCGCGGTGACGATCAGGCGGAAGCTGGGGGCGGCTCAAGTCAAGCGACTACTCTTTAAATGAACACGCTGTTTAAACGAAAACAAGAACACAAAAATTTGACGAACAAACAAGCAAAAATTAATCAATTGAATGGAGTTGTGAGAAAATGTGATTAAAAACAAACCGTGTGAGTGTGTTGCGCTAAAAAGAAAACACTAGTAATAATAATGATAAATAATGTTGTTAGTCTTTTTCTGGCTGTGGTTTTAAATAATTCATAGTTCAATACAATTTTGTTTGAGTAAAATAATAAAAAAAAAAACGCGTTAAAACTTGAAAATCATAACGAATACGACTACAACTATTGAATTATTTATACTTATACTTAAATGTTGTATTATACTGGGCGTGCAATTAACACATGTTTATAATTTAGAGAGTATAACTTGTAACAAAGCACCAATTATGATAACTTGAGGTTGAGATGTCGGAGATGTTGGAAGGGAGGGCGAGAAGCGTGTGGCTGTGTCACACTTTATAGGCAATAATTAACGATAGTTGGAACAAAATTTGTTCACTTCCGAAATCTTAACATATCGACGCTCAAAGTCAAAAACAAAAGATGTGTACTTACAACTTTCACGTTGCGCGTTATCATTATGTAGTAATTATTTATTTGTATAATGTACTATTGTAATTACGTTCTTCGATTTATTTACCAGTTGTATTTATTCGCTAAGCATTATTTACGATTACTACTATTTACTAGTCATTTTGCGACGGCGAGCGCGAAATATTAACTTTTTTTTTATTATTGTATCGCATATTATTTACGTTATCATTAAGCTATTATTCTGTATTATTGTATTGGATGCGCAGGATGCGGATGGAAGGATGTAGGAAAATGTTGCAAACAAGCAAACACAAACTCAGTGCCTATTTTAAAATGAAAATGTTAATATTTAAAGCTCGTATCAAAAGTTACGCAAGTAAAACACGAAATCACTTGTTAAAGTAAATGAACTTCAAGTCATGACTAACATGATGTGTGGATAATAGGAAAATAATCACATATATACGATTAGTGAATGGAGAGCTTAGAATTCATGTACATACCCGATTATATATGTAAATATAATATGTACAAAGAGTATTATATTAATAAATTAATTCGAATTAATGTTTAGCTTTGTACTCGAATACGCAATTCATGTGTTAAATTTGATCTTATTTTATTTTATACATGCGTATTATTGTACAGAAAAGCATCGATAAGGCAATTGGGTTGCCTATAGTTGGAGTCTATAATTTGTTGCTGAAATCAAACATGCCAGAGGGTTAGTTCTGCGCGTTCTGCGTATTACGCGCTGATAGCACGCGTGTTTTGCGCATATCCTACTCTCTTCTGCGGATGCGCGTTGCCTTATCCGTTGTGATCGCGTGATGTCTCTGCATGTTTGGTGAGTTCGGCGGGTAGTTCTGCGTCGATCGCTGTTTTAGGCAGACGTACTTCACGCGCGTGGTGTCAATTTTTCACATTTCAATTTACATATCGCGTTTTATTTGTTCGACAATCGACTATTTAGTGGTAGCTGGCATGATTGTTATAGTCTATTGTTAATTTTAATCGCGCGTTGAATCTCAATACTTAAGTGCTAGTTCTTTTTCGCGTGTGATGTGCGAATTGCAATTCACAATATGCGTTCCTAACGCTCGGGATGTTTACGGTTGTGGTGTTATCGCCCGTTATCGTGTGTTTTGCTGCTTGTTTGACTAACAGCGGTTTGTGGATGAATCGCAGCCATGTTGATTCGCTTCATATGGAGGACCATGTACGCTTAAGGTAAGTAACATAAATTTAGACATTGTTATGTACAATACGAGTTGTTGTAATTCTTTTAGCCATGTTGCGAACATAATATTGTATCGATTGGAATCTTTTAACTAACGTTTTCTTTTATTTACAGTGCCTGTGCCTGTGCCTTATAGCGCATAATGGACTATGCCTTGGTAAGTTTATAAAGAAATTGTTTTTGTTTTGTGAAAAGTGTTTGTATCTGGATTGTTTTTTGTCGCGTTCAACGTTTGAATTTCAATTATCTCCGTTTACGTTTATGCTATTGTCATGCAATTTGCATATATAGATAGTGCGATAGTTTTTCTACAAAATGGTCCCTTGCTAGCCCCGGAAATCACACGTAAAGTGCCTCAAAACCGCCCCCAAAAGTAGGTAATTTTTAGCATTTTCGCGGACTTGTTGTGGAAATTCCTCATTATTTCTAGAACCGTTTACGCCATTGTCATAAAAATTGTAAATATAGATAGTGCGATAGTTTTTCCACAAAATAGACCCTTGCTAGCCCTGCAAATCACACGCAAAGTGTCTAAAAACCGCCCCCAAAAGTTGGTCATTTTTAGCATTTTCGAAAACTTGTTGTGGAAATTCCTCCTTATCTCAAGAACCACCCCCAAAAGTTTAATAGCGTAATTTCTTATCATTTTTGTATAATTGCGGTGAAATTGTTCAATATTTCGGGAACCTTGTTCGCCATTGTACTGACGATACTCTCAAGGCAAAACATGTAGTGGAAATAAAGTGTAATTCAATCCACACTTTAAATTTGTATAAATATAACTATGGATTACGTATTTAACGAAGAAGTACTGAAGATGAATAAAAGTTGAATTAAATTTTTCGCGCTTGTCAATCCGATGACGCCACCTAAAAATTACAGATCGCAAAAGCTGCTCTACGCAATTACAGTTTTGCTACCAAACATGTGAGCAGTTTGATCTCCCGTCACTAGATGGCGCACACAGTCCACTTCTTCATCGTCATTATTCTGTACGTCGCTAGATGGCGCTGCACTCATTTTTAAATTTATTTTCAGTCTATTATTTTGTGCGTTAGTGCAGTGCGACGTTCGCCGATTTTAAAATTCGTTTCTCGTTAGGTGAACGTAGCTATTTACAATTTTCGGAAATTGTTGTTTCTGTTTAATTCACCTATTCGCGCATTGTTCTAGAAATTTTATTCATAGGCGTTTGTATTTACATTCAATCTTATGCCGGTTTAGAACGAAGAATCTTATCTGGTTATTGTTGTGAACATTCTTATCTATTTGTATGCCGTGAATCAACAAACCTATACTTGTGTATCCGTGTATCTAGCGTACGCAAGTTTTTAAATAAGATTTAATTTTAGTTCTTGTGAATATTTTTGTTTTATTTTGTAATTTTGCTGGTATTAATTTTGTTTTAATTTTAGCAATTGGAGCATTCTCCGTTAAATGTACGTTCGAAGATCGTTTTCTAACCCGGCTATCAGTTGAGGTATCCACCTTATCCATTTTCCATTCCTCTGCGTGCTCACTGCGGAAAAAGGTATAGTACAGAGTACATTACTTCTTATTGCTGAAATTGTAAATTCTGTTTTATATATAAGCGGTAGTGATTACTTAGCATCACAGGTGATTTTTTATTACAATATCAAATTTGTACACTTGTCCACATGTATGATGATTAATTTTTATTTAATTTTAGGACTTTTAGCGTAAAAGTACCCACTGATTCATACATCCGTGGCGCATACACTGGAGAATCACCTGATATTCGATGTGATATCATATCATCGATTTTGCTACCACATCAACCAAATGGACCTTCCTCCTGGTGAAAAGCACCGGCTTTTCGAAGGGATGCGATACCTCTATAACTCGTAAACCACAAACGCATTCTTTTAGTTCACTTATAATTAGAATTGTATATATTTAGAGACCTTTGATAATTAATTTGATGAATGCTTGTGGAATAACATGCAGTGTAAACTCTTTATAACGATACTTACTAAGATTAGTTGAATTAAGGACTGATCTTACTCCAGCGATTTATCAGAAACTGACTTTGTACCTATTTTTACGTCATAAAAAAGGTTATCAAGAGTTTACATTGTATTGTACACGTAATCGCCTCATGACTTTTACTGTATCGCATTATTGCGTTATATTTGTGGGTAGTATTGCGGATAAGGGTATTTGGTAATTGCCGCACTACTGTTTAGCTCACGAAAGGGCGTCTGTAGAGATGTTAAATTAAATTCTCGGTGGGGTTATATTAGTTTGTTGTAGGTGTGACTCCTTCAACATTGGTAAATTTGAAAATTGGGTGGTTACGTGGGATTTTCACATAAAACGTGAAATTGTTGAAGTTTTTTCGGTGTAGCTCGCGAGGGGCGGTTTGAAATTTCCCCGCGGTTTCTAGAGAAGTTAAATTAAATTATCCGTGGGGTTGTATTAGTTTGTTGTATGAGCGGCGCCTGCAATATTGGGAAATTCTCAAATTGGGTGGTTTAGTGGGTTTTTCATATAAAGGGTGATATTGTTGGAGTTTTTTGGGAATAGCACGCGAGATAGGCGAGTTCGAAATTTTTCCGCGGTTTCTAGAGAAGTCAAATTAAATTCTCGGTGGCGTTATATTAGGTTGTTGTTGGAGTGACTCCTGCAACATTGGTAAATTCGAAAATTGAGTGGTTAAGTGGGATTGTCACATGAAGGGTGAAATTGTTTGGGTTTTTTCGTTGTAGCTCGCGAGGGGGGCGGCTTAGAAATTTCGCCGCGGTCTCGAGTGAAGGCAAATTAAATTCTCCGTGGGTTTGTATTAGTTTGTTGTAGGAGTGACGCCTGCAATATTGGTAAATTCAAAAATTGGGTGGTTAAGTGGAATTTTCACATGAAAGAGTGAATTTGTTGGGGTGTTTTCGGTATATTGCGAAGGGAACGGTTTAGAATTCTCAGCGCAGTTTCTAGAAAAATTGAATTATATTTTCGGCGCGGTTATTATTTTTTACAAAAGCTTCGGCTTCATTCTGTTTTCCACATTTCCTTTCTTTTGTGTCTTTTATGTTATCCATGTAGAACCTGAGATTATGTTTAATTGTGTTATTTTTCCTATGTGCTACTGTGTAATCTACTTGTGTTGTCTATGTAGAATGTGTTTCCATATGTAGATGTTTTGTATATTTTGTTCTTGTAAGATGCATTGTGTAGTTGTAGTAGTTGTAGTAGTGTAGTTGTAGTGTGTAGTTGTACACTGTAGTTGTTCGTGTTTGTGTGTGTTTAAATGTTTGCTTGCACCTTGTGTTGTGCGTTTTAATATATCTACTGTTGTTGTTGTATGTAAATTAAAGTACAGAACTGTAAATAGTCAATTCAAAATATCATTTTACTTTTCATCAACAAGTTTATTAGGTAGCCATTTACTGCTATGAACGTGTTGTCATGTGTCGGAAATAGCGTTTAACATTTTAACTGCAATATGACGGTACAGAATCGGCACGATGGTGGTGATACATAACGTCATCGTGATGATGCAAATGTGACGAACCTAATCATATTTATTTTGTGATACCTATTTAAACTTTGCGAAACTAATGGTAGGATAGGATTTTAATTTATTTTTAAAATGTTTGACAAATAAGCTAGTTGTGAAGTGATATACTTAATTTTATTACTTTCATTGTTGAATACGTAATCCATTTTGTATAATTTAAAAATATTTATTTATTTAAAGTTATACGTGATTTTTCTGGATTTACATTTTATATATTGAGTTGACATGTGTCGCCCTGAGGGCATCTTCATAAACTGTTAATTATTTAGGATTATTGGAACACAAGCACATCACAACATCACAAGCAGAGCGTTACTCAAATCAAATTGAATGAATCAAAAGTAATAAATACTACCCTGATGCTTTTAATTTTGTTTTGTGTCTGCTATGCTGCTTGTGTCGGCGCAGCGCGTCAGTTTTCTTGCTTATTTAGATAGTACTGGTAGGGGCTATCTTCTTTGTTTACGCCTGATATCAATTCTCTTTGCAGTTTAGTCGATCGCGCGCTGTGCTACGGTTAACACGTGTTTTGTTCGTCAGTCGATCTGCGTAGCGACTTTTCGCGTGTCTTACTTTAATTCTGTAATTGCCTTCATCGGCCTTTCGTAACAGGCTAATGTGGCACAACCCCAATTAATCATCGGTTCGCTTGTGCGCTTGGGATGTTCCGTCGGTCGTCGCTAAGTATTATTCGGTTGTGGAATTATCGGCAACCGTGTTGGTCTTTATGTGCGTCGCGTGCGTGTTCATCGGCACTCGTTCATCTTCTCGCATATTGGCAAAACTTGGATTTATTATTAATTCCTGCTGATAGACAACGTTGGTGCCCAGTTCTTGAGTATGGGAGCCATGGAATCTGCGATATCCATAAAAGAAGTATTGGAGATGCGCACATTTTAAGGTAAGTCTTTATTGCTACGTGATTTGAAATTCGTCAATGTTTTTTTTTATTTGAATGACAAATGTATTTTAAATGTTGTCAATAAAACACATTGTAATGTTATAAACTAATTCTTAGTTCTTTGTGGCATCCCCTTTGTTGTTTTCAGTATCGGTGTATCAGTATCATATAGTATATTAATCTTACGTGCGTGAAGCGTATACAATGCATTGCTGTTGCTTGAATTGTGTTGTTGTTTTTAAAAACATGATAAAAACAGAAACATATATAGAAGAATCAAATAACAATAATAAAAACACTCGGTGGTCGAGTGGAGACGTGCACCTGCTGGCATGCTAGCAGACACGGATCGAATCTCAGGTATAGAAGGCATTTTTCTCAAATATAAAAATATCAGGTGTAATTTGGGTTGCATATATGAATTGCAACGAAATATATGAGAAATTGAAATACAAGTGAAGGCAATAAGAGAAGTAAGAAAGTCAAAGGAGAACGGGAGATCAGGGAAATAGAAGAATGAGTAGTAGAGAATGAGAATAGGAGAAGATAGAAGGAAGAGAACAGAGAGTAGAGTAGAGAAGAGGAGGAGATAGAAGAAAGAGAACAGGAGAGGATGAGATTTTTAAATTTTTTGGCACGTGTCGTTATAAGACAGTCTACGGTCGATCTCCCAGAGCGCCTCCGGCGCTCTGGTCGATCGCCCACTGCTTCGATCCGTCCATTGCTCCCGGCCCATCCTACAGCTACGATGTCTCTGCGCTTCATCCCCGAAATTATCAGGCATATCAACAATTTTTATGGTGGGGGATCACCCCCAGAGAGAGGGAACTCCTTATAAGGACAATCCTTATAAGTAAAACTTGTAAAAATATTTCTAAGTTTTAAGTCGCCTCAAGAGAGGTGACACTCAAAAATATTCTCACAAGTTCTGACCTGTAGCTGAAATGAAAGAAGGAGCACACAAATCACACAGGATACCTTAACAATTTTTATAGTGGGGATCATCCCCTGAGAGAGGGAATTCTCTAAGAGACCTGTTACTGAAATGATAGAAGAGGTTCACAAATCAAAGAAGTCAATATATCTTACTATTCATTTATTAACAATAGAATACAAGTTTATATTTTACAAGTCAACAGAATACATGTCGCCATATTGAAACAGGACTTACGACCTGCATAGCCGCGCACATGCAAGCAAGTTGCACTTCGCAAAGTACTACCGGGATAAAGAAATTAGGAAATAGACCATTTTCTACGTGAGTGAAAATGGGAACAAATATACAGGGAGTTACAAAAAGAAAATTTAAAGTGCAAACAAAAAACTCTAAACACCACAAACGTTCGTTTTCATCGACAATCAGGAAAACTAATATACAGGGTGTTACAAATAGAAAATTCAAAGTGCAAAGAAGAAAAACCTAAAACAACAACTAAAGCTAAATTTTCACGGACAACAAGGAAAACAAATATACAGGGTGCAGCAGGTAACTAAGGAATTTCTCAAATATAATCTACATATTTTAGGTATATCAGAAGTACGTTGGTTGGGGAAAGGAGAACATCCCACACAAGGTGGAGAACGACTACTTTTTAGTGGTAATGAATCTGGAAAACACGAAAGCGGTGTAGGATTTCTACTCAGTAAACATGCTAAAAAGAGTCTAATCTCATGGACACCAATAAACGAAAGAGTAATAACAGCAAGATTCTACACCAGGTTCAGAAAAGTAACTTTTATCCAATGTTACGCCCCAACCAATAACGCTTCTAAAGAGGATAAAGATGAATTCTATGACATCCTCGAGAAAACTATAAAAGACGTAAACAGCGGTGACATAAAAATTCTCATGGGCGACCTTAATGCGAAAGTAGGCGCTCAAAACGAGAATTTGGAAGAAATTATGGGAAAAAACGGCGTTGGGCAGATTAACGAAAACGGCACATACTTCACACAGTTCTGCTCCAACGCGAACCTGGTAATAGGGGTACGCTGTTCCCCACAAACAGATTCACAAGACAACGTGGGTCTCGCCAGACAAAAACCCACAACCAAATCGATCATATCACAATCTCTAGGAAATGGAGATCGTCATTACTCGATGTGAGGAACAAGAGAGGTGCTGATGTAGCCAGTGACCACCACCTAATAGTTGGCACATTGAGAATAAAACTAGCAGTACCCAAGCAACCAGCCGATATGAAACGAATAAAACTAAATATAGAGAAGCTACGCATTCCACAAATAGCAAAATCCTTCAAGGAAAAAATGCAAGAGACAATAAACCAAAAATCAGCACAAAATGGGAAAATATGGCCGACAACATCATTGAAGTCGCCAAAACAACAATTGGAGTGAAAAGCAGGCAAAGGAAAGAATGGATCAGCGAAAACACGTGGTTGCTGATAGAAGACCGAAAGAGGAAAAACACCTGCTACTCCAAAATCTTTCGCAAGAATATAGGGCAGCAGCACAGGTAGAGTACACAGGCCTTTGCCAAAAGGTCAAAAGGGAAGCCAGAAGAGACAAACGCAGGTGGATAGATGATATTTGCAGACAAGCAGAAGAAGCAATGCTCAACAACAACTCGAGAGAACTTTACAACCTCACAAAGAAACTGGCCAATAAGTACTCTACACGCACACACTTCATTAAGTCAAAAACGGCCGCCTGTTAGTTGAGTCAGACAAGCAGCTCGAAAGATGGAGGAACATTTCTCCGACATGCTCAGCGCAAACGAAACAATTAACTGGGAGCCAGAGAATAACCCAGGTAGACAACTGAACATTGACTCGAACCCGCCTTCAGTCGCGGAGATAACTGCAGCTATAAAGACGCTTAAGAACAACAAAGCAGCAGGAGCTGATAACGTTCCAGCGGAACTACTAAAAGTAAACGCCACATGGATGGCAAATGAACTATACCACTGTATTAAGGAAGCATGGAACAACAACAAGATTCCGACCAAGTGGAAAGAAGGGCTAATCATCAAGCTTCCCAAAAAAGGTAACTTGACCGAGTGTAACAACTGGCGTGGCATAACGCTATTAAACACAATTAATAAGATTATCGCGAAAATCGTCCAAACAAGATTAGCGGAAACTATAGAAAACACCCTGCGCCCGAACCAAGCAGGTTTTCGGCCAAATCGCTCATGCATCGATCATATCAATACCCTTCGTATAATTATCGAGCAATCAGTAGAATGGCGATCACCACTATTCATCGCCTTCATCGACTTTGAGAAAGCATTCGACAGCCTGAACCACGACGCTTTATGGAGGATCCTTAAGTCGCGAGGTGTACCAACAAAGATAATAAGCATCCTGCAAGAACTCTACACTGATGCAAACTGCAGTGTGTTACACAACGGTGAAAAAAGCGAAAGTTTTACGATACACAGAGGAGTAAAACAAGGATGTGTCATATCCCCATTACTATTTAACATCGCCTTAGACTACATACTAGCAAAGGTAGACCAGAACAGGGATGGGTTGCGCTGGACACTAACCTCGCACCTCAGCGACCTGGATTACGCCGACGACATCTGCCTGATGTCACATACGTTCGAAGGCGTGAGCCGACAGCTAACAACATTAGCAAGGGAGGCAAGTAAAATTGGCCTAAGAATAAATATTGCCAAAACAAAAGAAATGCGTATAAATACAAACAACACCTTAAAACTCCAAATAGATAATACGGAAATAGAAGAGGTCAAGGAATTCCTATATCTAGGAAGTATAATTGACATAAAAGGGGGGACCGACGCAGATATAAACAACAGAATAAAGAAAGCCCAGCAATCCTTCAGAATGCTGAGCACAGTATGGAAGTCAAGCGTCTATACACTAAGAACAAAACTGCGCATATTCCGCACAAATGTAAAATCCACCCTTTTATATGGATGCGAAACATGGAGGTCAACGAGCTCAAGCACACACAAACTCCAAACCTTCATAAACAAGTGCTTGAGAATGATCTTGCGCATATTCTGGCCAATGACAATCTCCAACGATGAGTTGCACCGTCGATGTGATGAAACTCCCATTATAAATCAAATACGCAAGAGAAAATGGGGTGGATTGGGCACATCTTGAGAAGAGACGCCGGAGATATCGCCAGAAATGCGCTAGAATGGAACCCACAGGGGAAGAGAAGGGTTGGTAGACCGGCCAATACCTGGCGAAGATCCACAATAGAGGAGCTCCGAAACCAAAATATAGGCTGGAACGAAGCAAAGGCGGTTGCCCGAAACAGAGTCCGTTGGAGGGCGCTTAGTGAGGCTCTATGCTCCACATAGGAGCCAAGAACATTATATATATATATATATAAAGCTAAATTTTCACGGACAACAAGGAAAACAAATATACAGGGTGCTGCAAAAAGGAATTTACTACATCATAAAAAAAATGCTCAAGAAAAAAAAATGTTCAAGATGGAACATATTAGGAAACACTAAATGTCGACAGTTTTTCATAGGAAATTAAGGAAAACAAATATACAGGGTGTTACAAAAAGAAAATCAATAGTACAAAGAAGGAAACAGTCGGGAATACCAAATTTAGAAAACTTATAATAGGAAGTCAAGAAAAACAAACATACAGGGTGATACAAACAGGAAATTCCTAAAATTAAAAATAAAATACAAAGTTTAAGTAGAAAACGACCCAGAAACGACCAATTTAGTCAGTTTTACACTAGAACGCAAGGAAAAGTAGAACATAGGGTGATACAAGAAGAAAATCGCTACATTTTATTAGAAAATTCAAAATTTCGATGCAGAGAATTTCATTCATAATTAGAAGGTGACACAACAAGAAAATTTAAACTAATACCTGTTTCTCTCAGAATATCAAGAAATGGAAAGGTAGAGAAGCTAGAGTTGTGAATAAATAAAACATCAATATGAATTTTATTGCGATCTTGAAATTTGCCTTGCGACGCTTCTCCAGATACGCCACAAGCAAGGCAAAACAGTCCGCCGACGGCAACTCAAGCACACACGCGGAAGAAAATTAAATCGTCTTTTACAAATATATTACTCTCAATAATTAATTGCCAAACTACGAAAATACGTTAAACAGCCTGCAGATTTATGAAATAAAAATGCGAGCAAGGAAAATTTCACGTTATTAAACCGATGATTGGCATGACCATACTCTGCGGGTAGATCCAAGTCGCATCCGACGGCACGCATCAATTTTGTGTTGTTACGGTATTCACGTTACATGCAATTTTAGATAAATATGAAAGTATAATGTAATAACTAATAACGTTTACAAATTTACCGGTGCATCAGGTAATCATAGGAAGTACTGAAACCAAAAAAACAACACGTGTGTGAGAACTCGCACTATGATGCACACTTATTTATATTCGTTTTGAGGAATAATGAACCTGTACTATTTTAACACACAATTTTCCCGGAATATCCTGCCAAGGACAGTCGTTAATTACACTAACTTAAAATTACGAATAGGATACATATTTCTAATTCCAATTCTCAACATCGAAATAATCCAATAGCCGACACGCACATGGAAACACCAGTTTTATAATCATTTTACGCGTAATTCATACTTAGCAAAACAATCTACATGTCTGTTGTCATTAGGTGCCGTTAGAAATGCTCATTTTTAATCAATAATAAAATGTAATGTAATCGGAATGAATAAAATAATGATGCCGAGCCGCGTGCAGGTAAGAACAGACTGAAGCGGTCGAACGTTCGTAGCATGAGAGGCAGCATTGCGCACGTTTATAGCGATATAAAAACTTGTTTATACACAAACCCCGATATGCGTGTATAATTGAAATAGCACATTTTTGAAGTGCACTAAAATAAAATAAAATATAATAATTCAAAAAATATAATCAGTTGTTAATTTCCGCGCATTCGGTTCGCGCGTTATACTAATGAAACTATTGCGTATATGCGTATACACACAACTATCATTATAACTCGCGTTACGGAATTTTCTCGCAATAAAATTCGATACAGGGAAATAAAGAATTAAATTCCGCATCTGGGAAAATTATTCCGAACTTAGTTTAAGACCGCGTTCGCGTGTTATAATATTAAAAAAGTACAATTCCTAGCGCAACGAGTACTATTGCGTATATGCGTATACACACAACTATCATTATAACTCGCGTTACGGAATTTTCTCGCAATAAATTTCGATACAGGGAAATAAAGAATTAAATTCCGCATCTGGGAAAGTTAATCCGAACTTAGTTTAAGACCGCGTTCGCGTGTTATAATATTAAAAAGTACAATTCCTAGCGCAACGAGTACTATTGCGTATATGCGTATACACACAACTATCATTATAACTCGCGTTACGGAATTTTCTCGCAATAAAATTCGATACAGGGAAATAAAGAATTAAATTCCGCATCTGGGAAAATTAATCCGAACTTAGTTTAAGACCGCGTTCGCGTGTTATAATATTAAAAAGTACAATTCCTAGCGCAACGAGTACTATTGCGTATATGCGTATACACACAACTATCATTATAACTCGCGTTACGGAATTTTCTCGCAATAAAATTCGATACAGGGAAATAAAGAATTAAATTCCGCATCTGGGAAAATTAATCCGAACTTAGTTTAAGACCGCGTTCGCGTGTTATAATATTAAGAAAGTACAATTCCTAGCGCAACGAGTACTATTGCGTATATGCGTATACACACAACTATCATTATAACTCGCGTTACGGAATTTTCTCGCAATAAAATTCGATACAGGGAAATAAAGAATTAAATTCCGCATCTGGGAAAATTAATCCGAACTTAGTTTAAGACCGCGTTCGCGTGTTATAATATTAAAAAGTACAATTCCTAGCGCAACGAGTACTATTGCGTATATGCGTATACACACAACTATCATTATAACTCGCGTTACGGAATTTTCTCGCAATAAAATTTGATACAGGGAAATAAAGAATTAAATTCCGCATCTGGGAAAATTAATCCGAACTTAGTTTAAGACCGCGTTCGCGTGTTATAATATTAAAAATACAATTCCTAGCGCAACGAGTACTATTGCGTATATGCGTATACACACAACTATCATTATAACTCGCGTTACGGAATTTTCTCGCAATAAAATTTGATACAGGGAAATAAAGAATTAAATTCCGCATCTGGGAAAATTAATCCGAACTTAGTTTAAGACCGCGTTCGCGTGTTATAATATTAAAAAATACAATTCCTAGCGCAACGAGTACTATTGCGTATATGCGTATACACACAACTATCATTATAACTCGCGTTACGGAATTTTCTCGCAATAAAATTTGATACAGGGAAATAAAGAATTAAATTCCGCATCTGGGAAAATTAATCCGAACTTAGTTTAAGACCGCGTTCGCGTGTTATAATATTAAAAAATACAATTCCTAGCGCAACGAGTACTATTGCGTATATGCATATACACACAACTATCATTATAACTCGCGTTACGGAATTTTCTCGCAATAAAATTTGATACAGGGAAATAAAGAATTAAATTCCGCATCTGGGAAAATTAATCCGAACTTAGTTTAAGACCGCGTTCGCGTGTTATAATATTAAAAATACAATTCCTAGCGCAACGAGTACTATTGCGTATATGCATATACACACAACTATCATTATAACTCGCGTTACGGAATTTTCTCGCAATAAAATTTGATACAGGGAAATAAAGAATTAAATTCCGCATCTGGGAAAATTAATCCGAACTTAGTTTAAGACCGCGTTCGCGTGTTATAATATTAAAAAATACAATTCCTAGCGCAACGAGTACTATTGCGTATATGCGTATACACACAACTATCATTATAACTCGCGTTACGGAATTTTCTCGCAATAAAATTTGATACAGGGAAATAAAGAATTAAATTCCGCATCTGGGAAAATTAATCCGAACTTAGTTTAAGACCGCGTTCGCGTGTTATAATATTAACAAAGTACAATTCCTAGCGCAACGAGTACTATTGCGTATATGCGTATACACACAACTATCATTATAACTCGCGTTACGGAATTTTCTCGCAATAAAATTTGATACAGGGAAATAAAGAATTAAATTCCGCATCTGGGAAAATTAATCCGAACTTAGTTTAAGACCGCGTTCGCGTGTTATAATATTAAAAAATACAATTCCTAGCGCAACGAGTACTATTGCGTATATGCGTATACACACAACTATCATTATAACTCGCGTTACGGAATTTTCTCGCAATAAAATTTGATACAGGGAAATAAAGAATTAAATTCCGCATCTGGGAAAATTAATCCGAACTTAGTTTAAGACCGCGTTCGCGTGTTATAATATTAAAAATACAATTCCTAGCGCAACGAGTACTATTGCGTATATGCGTATACACACAACTATCATTATAACTCGCGTTACGGAATTTTCTCGCAATAAAATTTGATACAGGGAAATAAAGAATTAAATTCCGCATCTGGGAAAATTAATCCGAACTTAGTTTAAGACCGCGTTCGCGTGTTATAATATTAAAAAGTACAATTCCTAGCGCAACGAGTACTATTGCGTATATGCGTATACACACAACTATCATTATAACTCGCGTTACGGAATTTTCTCGCAATAAAATTTGATACAGGGAAATAAAGAATTAAATTCCGCATCTGGGAAAATTAATCCGAACTTAGTTTAAGACCGCGTTCGCGTGTTATAATATTAAAAAGTACAATTCCTAGCGCAACGAGTACTATTGCGTATATGCGTATACACACAACTATCATTATAACTCGCGTTACGGAATTTTCTCGCAATAAATTTCGATACAGGGAAATAAAAAATTTAATTCCGCATCTGGGAAAATTAATCCGAACTTAGTTTAAGACCGCGTTCGCGTGTTATAATATTAAAACAGAACAATTCCTAGCACAACGAGTACTATTGCGAATATGCGTATACACACAACTATCATTATAACTCGCGTTACGGAATTTTCTCGCAATAAATTTCGATACAGGGAAATAAAAAATTTAATTCCGCATCTGGGAAAATTAATCCGAACTTAGTTTAAGACCGCGTTCGCGTGTTATAATATTAAAACAGAACAATTCCTAGCACAACGAGTACTATTGCGAATATGCGTATACACACAACTATCATTATAACTCGCGTTACGGAATTTTCTCGCAATAAATTTCGATACAGGGAAATAAAGAATTAAATTCCGCATCTGGGAAAATTAATCCGAACTTAGTTTAAGACCGCGTTCGCGTGTTATAATATTAACAAAATACAATTCCTAGCGCAACGAGTACTATTGCGTATATGCGTATACACACAACTATCATTATAACTCGCGTTACGGAATTTTCTCGCAATAAAATTTGATACAGGGAAATAAAGAATTAAATTCCGCATCTGGGAAAATTAATCCGAACTTAGTTTAAGACCGCGTTCGCGTGTTATAATATTAAAAAATACAATTCCTAGCGCAACGAGTACTATTGCGTATATGCGTATACACACAACTATCATTATAACTCGCGTTACGGAATTTTCTCGCAATAAAATTTGATACAGGGAAATAAAGAATTAAATTCCGCATCTGGGAAAATTAATCCGAACTTAGTTTAAGACCGCGTTCGCGTGTTATAATATTAAAAAATACAATTCCTAGCGCAACGAGTACTATTGCGTATATGCGTATACACACAACTATCATTATAACTCGCGTTACGGAATTTTCTCGCAATAAAATTTGATACAGGGAAATAAAGAATTAAATTCCGCATCTGGGAAAATTAATCCGAACTTAGTTTAAGACCGCGTTCGCGTGTTATAATATTAAAAAATACAATTCCTAGCGCAACGAGTACTATTGCGTATATGCGTATACACACAACTATCATTATAACTCGCGTTACGGAATTTTCTCGCAATAAAATTTGATACAGGGAAATAAAGAATTAAATTCCGCATCTGGGAAAATTAATCCGAACTTAGTTTAAGACCGCGTTCGCGTGTTATAATATTAAAAAGTACAATTCCTAGCGCAACGAGTACTATTGCGTATATGCGTATACACACAACTATCATTATAACTCGCGTTACGGAATTTTCTCGCAATAAAATTTCGATACAGGGAAATAAAGAATTAAATTCCGCATCTGGGAAAATTAATCCGAACTTAGTTTAAGACCGCGTTCGCGTGTTATAATATTAAAAAGTACAATTCCTAGCGCAACGAGTACTATTGCGTATATGCGTATACACACAACTATCATTATAACTCGCGTTACGGAATTTTCTCGCAATAAAATTCGATACAGGAAATAAAGAATTAAATTCCGCATCTGGGAAAATTAATCCGAACTTAGTTTAAGACCGCGTTCGCGTGTTATAATATTAAAAAAATACAATTCCTAGCGCAACGAGTACTATTGCGTATATGCGTATACACACAACTATCATTATAACTCGCGTTACGGAATTTTCTCGCAATAAATTTGATACAGGGAAATAAAGAATTAAATTCCGCATCTGGGAAAATTAATCCGAACTTAGTTTAAGACCGCGTTCGCGTGTTATAATATTAAAAATACAATTCCTAGCGCAACGAGTACTATTGCGTATATGCGTATACACACAACTATCATTATAACTCGCGTTACGGAATTTTCTCGCAATAAAATTTGATACAGGGAAATAAAGAATTAAATTCCGCATCTGGGAAAATTAATCCGAACTTAGTTTAAGACCGCGTTCGCGTGTTATAATATTAAAAATACAATTCCTAGCGCAACGAGTACTATTGCGTATATGCGTATACACACAACTATCATTATAACTACGAACTTAGTTTGCACAAAAAGCAAATTTTTTTCAGGTTTGGAGAGTTTTCTCCGATTGTGAATAATTAAAAGAGATACAGAGCAGCGGATTGAAACGCGACTGTCTTGTGTCTTTGCAATACGTGGTGGAACGCAAAAAAAACCACGTAAATAAAAACTACGACGCAGGAATTAAAACGAAAAATATAATTGAATTATAAACTTACCAATGCAGATCCAAGGCACGGCATATACTGTAAATAAGGAAAGAAAACATTATATTAATGTAATATTATATTCAAACAGCGAAAAACAGAGAAAAATAAACATCTATGCTGTATACGTAAAAGTTACTTATTACCTGCAATCAAAACTAAAATATGATGCAGCAACATGCGGCGTGAAGAGATGGCAACGAGGGCACACGGCAATGCGATAAGAAAGTGTAAATTGTGTTCAAAACAAACACAATTCTCGTGTCGAATGCTCGCGCTTGCCGATAAATATAGAAATAAACAATACAAATCTATTTTACGATTTTTGGGTCATGCTAGGGCCATCTACGAATGATACAGTAGTTTCAAAATTTATATTATTAAAAAGTAATGAAAAATTAAAATTCGATTTGTGTAATTCTGATTTCTTATGCTGACAGAGTGCCAGATTTTACATAAAATACTTAAGTGATATCTGTTTCAGTGATCTGCTGATAATAAAAATGTTTCGCATTCTTGATGATTTTGATAATAAACTATAAAAATTAATATAAAACTGTTAGTTATATTCATGAAAGAATTGAAGAATATTTGCTTATTTACGATGCAAATATAATAAATAGCCACGGTGTGTTTTGATTCCACGAAATAAAGATTCGATACCTGCAGGTAAACAAACTTATCTCTTGTGCGAAATCGCGTGATCGCACACGGACACGATGTGCACTCACTACCACCGACAAGCAATATTTAACGCAAAAACGTACATCGTAGTGCCATCTAACCGACTATCTAGTAATGGCAGGTTTAAATTTAAAACACATTTTATCAAATATGCAACAACTTTGTTATTTTATGAAAATGCCAGTCATAAGCAATGTAATAATGCCTATCAGATCGCAATATTTCGTTAATTAATATTCTATGGTACAACATAATAATAATATATTCACCCACACAAACATTCGGTGCGGAGTATCGAAATGGTGAGATAAAAATTACTTACTCAAGCACGAAGGGACCTGCTAAGAACGGGGAACAACATGGCAATCAATCAAATTGATCTAGCGACCGACAACGTCACACAATAACCGACAATAAAACCGCAGCATTCTTGTAATTTGAAATGTAAACATCAAAAGCGCGCAAAAAAATCATTTACGGACGTTAAACGCACTATTAATCATTCACAAGATACAGCAGATGCATGTTACACGTCGATTAATGACCGAATATAATGCAAATGTAGCAAATAGAAGTCCGATAAAACAATACGCGTCGCGCGAAATGCGTCTGGAGACGCCAGCGCCAGGCTCGAAACTGGCTGCAAACCATCGATAGCATATACCGAAGCCGTGCCAGTAACGCCGCGAGATTTTATGATAAGAAAGCAAGAAACGCGCAAAGCCGGCGCGTCGACGGCCCGCGATCTTGTGCGCGAATTACATTTGGCACGGTTCATATATGCGATCTAAACTATATTACAATGTAATGCATGTGATTCTAATTTCTCTCGATTTCCGCAAAAACTAAACGCGATAGAAAGAAACAGATTGAAATTTTTCAAACTACGGAAAAATTTCTATAAAATAGAAACGTGGTTAAGTGTGCTAAAAAGTGACATTTTGCAATTTTTGCCCATTTTATTCAATCGCGAATATCTCGTAAACTAAAAGAGATAAATAAGATCTGATCGCAGCGTCTTAATCTACGGACCAATCTCTATCAGATAGGATAGTTAAAATGGAAATCTGAGGGATGAAATTTTAAGTCTTAAGAAAAAATTGCCAAGGGGGGGTGCTTGATACTTTTTTTCGACGATTTTCAAAAATTCATATCTCTTAAACTAAAAGAGATAGCTACCAACGAATTGTTGATTATGAAAGATTGGAAAATTCTCTATCAGATAAAAATATAAAATAATTATATTTCCTACAGTAAAAGGTCGAAAAACGCGACTAAAAGTGCTAAAAAGTGACATTTATCAATTTTTGCCCATTTTATTCAATCGCGAATATCTCGTAAACTAAAAGAGATAAATAAGATCTGATCGCAGCGTCTTAATCTACGGACCAATCTCTATCAGATAAGATAGTTAAAAGGGAAATTTGAGAGATGAAATTTTAAGTCTTAAGAAAAAATTGCCAAGGGGTGCTTGATACTTTTTTCGACGATTTTCAAAATTCATATCTCTTAAACTAAAAGAGATAGCTACCAACGAATTGTTGATTATGAAAGATTGGAAAATTCTCTATCAGATAAAAATATAAAATAATTATATTTCCTACAGTAAAAGGTCGAAAAACGCGACTAAAAGTGCTAAAAAGTGACATTTATCAATTTTTGCCCATTTTATTCAATCGCGAATATCTCGTAAACTAAAAGAGATAAATAAGATCTGATCGCAGCGTCTTAATCTACGGACCAATCTCTATCAGATAGGATAGTTAAAAAGGAAATTTGAGAGATGAAATTTTAAGTCTTAAGAAAAAATTGCCAAGGGGGGGTGCTTGATACTTTTTTTCGACGATTTTCAAAAATTCATATCTCTGAAACTAAAAGAGATAGCTACCAACGAATTGTTGATTATGAAAGATTGGAAAATTCTCTATCAGATAAAAATATAAAATAATTATATTTCCTACAGTAAAAGGTCGAAAAACGCGACTAAAAGTGCTAAAAGTGACATTTATCAATTTTGCCCATTTTATTCAATCGCGAATATCTCGTAAACTAAAAGAGATAAATTAGATCTGATCGCAGCGTCTTAATCTACGGACCAATCTCTATCAGATAGGATAGTTAAAAGGGAAATCTGAGAGATGAAATTTTAAGTCTTAAGAAAAATTGCCAAGGGGGTGCTTGATACTTTTTTTCGACGATTTTCAAAAATTCATATCTCTTAAACTAAAAGAGATAGCTACCAACGAATTGTTGATTATGAAAGATTGGAAAATTCTCTATCAGATAAAAATATAAAATAATTATATTTCCTACAGTAAAAGGTCGAAAAACGCGACTAAAAGTGCTAAAAAGTGACATTTATCAATTTTTGCCCATTTTATTCAATCGCGAATATCTCGTAAACTAAAAGAGATAAATTAGATCTGATCGCAGCGTCTTAATCTACGGACCAATCTCTATCAGATAGGATAGTTAAAAGGCAAATTTGAGAGATGAAATTTTAAGTCTTAAGAAAAAATTGCCAAGGGGGGGTGCTTGATACTTTTTTTCGACGATTTTCAAAAATTCATATCTCTTAAACTAAAAGAGATAGCTACCAACGAATTGTTGATTATGAAAGATTGGAAAATTCTCTATCAGATAAAAATATAAAATAATTATATTTCCTACAGTAAAAGGTCGAAAAACGCGACTAAAAGTGCTAAAAAGTGACATTTATCAATTTTTGCCCATTTTATTCAATCGCGAATATCTCGTAAACTAAAAGAGATAAATAAGATCTGATCGCAGCGTCTTAATCTACGGACCAATCTCTATCAGATAGGATAGTTAAAAGGAAATCTGAGAGATGAAATTTTAAGTCTTAAGAAAAAATTGCCAAGGGGGGGTGCTTGATACTTTTTTTCGACGATTTTCAAAAATTCATATCTCTTAAACTAAAAGAGATAGCTACCAACGAATTGTTGATTATGAAAGATTGGAAAATTCTCTATCAGATAAAAATATAAAATAATTATATTTCCTACAGTAAAAGGTCGAAAAACGCGACTAAAAGTGCTAAAAAGTGACATTTATCAATTTTTGCCCATTTTATTCAATCGCGAATATCTCGTAAACTAAAAGAGATAAATAAGATCTGATCGCAGCGTCTTAATCTACGGACCAATCTCTATCAGATAAGATAGTTAAAAGGAAATCTGAGAGATGAAATTTTAAGTCTTAAGAAAAAATTGCCAAGGGGGGGTGCTTGATACTTTTTTTCGACGATTTTCAAAAATTCATATCTCTTAAACTAAAAGAGATAGCTACCAACGAATTGTTGATTATGAAAGATTGGAAAATTCTCTATCAGATAAAAATATAAAATAATTATATTTCCTACAGTAAAGGTCGAAAAACGCGACTAAAAGTGCTAAAAAGTGACATTTATCAATTTTTGCCCATTTTATTCAATCGCGAATATCTCGTAAACTAAAAGAGATAAATAAGATCTGATCGCAGCGTCTTAATCTACGGACCAATCTCTATCAGATAGGATAGTTAAAAGGAAATCTGAGAGATGAAATTTTAAGTCTTAAGAAAAATTGCCAAGGGGGTGCTTGATACTTTTTTTCGACGATTTTCAAAAATTCATATCTCTTAAACTAAAAGAGATAGCTACCAACGAATTGTTGATTATGAAAGATTGGAAAATTCTCTATCAGATAAAAATATAAAATAATTATATTTCCTACAGTAAAAGGTCGAAAACGCGACTAAAAGTGCTAAAAGTGACATTTATCAATTTTTGCCCATTTTATTCAATCGCGAATATCTCGTAAACTAAAAGAGATAAATAAGATCTGATCGCAGCGTCTTAATCTACGGACCAATCTCTATCAGATAGGATAGTTAAAAGGGAAATCTGAGAGATGAAATTTTAAGTCTTAAGAAAAAATTGCCAAGGGGGGGTGCTTGATACTTTTTTTCGACGATTTTCAAAAATTCATATCTCTTAAACTAAAAGAGATAGCTACCAACGAATTGTTGATTATGAAAGATTGGAAAATTCTCTATCAGATAAAAATATAAAATAATTATATTTCCTACAGTAAAAGGTCGAAAAACGCGACTAAAAGTGCTAAAAAGTGACATTTATCAATTTTTGCCCATTTTATTCAATCGCGAATATCTCGTAAACTAAAAGAGATAAATAAGATCTGATCGCAGCGTCTTAATCTACGGACCAATCTCTATCAGATAAGATAGTTAAAAGGGAAATTTGAAAGATGAAATTTTAAGTCTTAAGAAAAAATTGCCAAGGGGGGGTGCTTGATACTTTTTTTCGACGATTTTCAAAAATTCATATCTCTTAAACTAAAAGAGATAGCTACCAACGAATTGTTGATTATGAAAGATTGGAAAATTCTCTATCAGATAAAAATATAAAATAATTATATTTCCTACAGTAAAAGGTCGAAAAACGCGACTAAAAGTGCTAAAAGTGACATTTATCAATTTTGCCCATTTTATTCAATCGCGAATATCTCGTAAACTAAAAGAGATAAATAAGATCTGATCGCAGCGTCTTAATCTACGGACCAATCTCTATCAGATAGGATAGTTAAAAGGGAAATCTGAGAGATGAAATTTTAAGTCTTAAGAAAAAATTGCCAAGGGGGGGTGCTTGATACTTTTTTTCGACGATTTTCAAAAATTCATATCTCTTAAACTAAAAGAGATAGCTACCAACGAATTGTTGATTATGAAAGATTGGAAAATTCTCTATCAGATAAAAATATAAAATAATTATATTTCCTACAGTAAAAGGTCGAAAAACGCGACTAAAAGTGCTAAAAAGTGACATTTATCAATTTTTGCCCATTTTATTCAATCGCGAATATCTCGTAAACTAAAAGAGATAAATAAGATCTGATCGCAGCGTCTTAATCTACGGACCAATCTCTATCAGATAGGATAGTTAAAAGGAAATCTGAGAGATGAAATTTTAAGTCTTAAGAAAAATTGCCAAGGGGGTGCTTGATACTTTTTTCGACGATTTTCAAAAATTCATATCTCTTAAACTAAAAGAGATAGCTACCAACGAATTGTTGATTATGAAAGATTGGAAAATTCTCTATCAGATAAAAATATAAAATAATTATATTTCCTACAGTAAAAGGTCGAAAAACGCGACTAAAAGTGCTAAAAAGTGACATTTATCAATTTTTGCCCATTTTATTCAATCGCGAATATCTCGTAAACTAAAAGAGATAAATAAGATCTGATCGCAGCGTCTTAATCTACGGACCAATCTCTATCAGATAGGATAGTTAAAAGGAAATCTGAGAGATGAAATTTTAAGTCTTAAGAAAAAATTGCCAAGGGGGTGCTTGATACTTTTTTTCGACGATTTTCAAAAATTCATATCTCTTAAACTAAAAGAGATAGCTACCAACGAATTGTTGATTATGAAAGATTGGAAAATTCTCTATCAGATAAAAATATAAAATAATTATATTTCCTACAGTAAAAGGTCGAAAAACGCGACTAAAAGTGCTAAAAGTGACATTTATCAATTTTGCCCATTTTATTCAATCGCGAATATCTCGTAAACTAAAAGAGATAAATAAGATCTGATCGCAGCGTCTTAATCTACGGACCAATCTCTATCAGATAGGATAGTTAAAAGGAAATCTGAGAGATGAAATTTTAAGTCTTAAGAAAAATTGCCAAGGGGGTGCTTGATACTTTTTTCGACGATTTTCAAAAATTCATATCTCTTAAACTAAAAGAGATAGCTACCAACGAATTGTTGATTATGAAAGATTGGAAAATTCTCTATCAGATAAAAATATAAAATAATTATATTTCCTACAGTAAAAGGTCGAAAAACGCGACTAAAAGTGCTAAAAGTGACATTTATCAATTTTGCCCATTTTATTCAATCGCGAATATCTCGTAAACTAAAAGAGATAAATAAGATCTGATCGCAGCGTCTTAATCTACGGACCAATCTCTATCAGATAGGATAGTTAAAAGGAAATCTGAGAGATGAAATTTTAAGTCTTAAGAAAAAATTGCCAAGGGGGTGCTTGATACTTTTTTTCGACGATTTTCAAAAATTCATATCTCTTAAACTAAAAGAGATAGCTACCAACGAATTGTTGATTATGAAAGATTGGAAAATTCTCTGTCAGATAAAAATATAAAATAATTATATTTCCTACAGTAAAAGGTCGAAAACGCGCCACTAAAAGTGCTAAAAGTGACATTTTCAATTTTTGCCCATTTTATTCAATCGCGAATATCTCGTAAACTAAAAGAGATAAATAAGATCTGATTTGCAGCGTCTTAATCTACGGACCAATCTCTATCAGATAGGATAGTTAAAGGGAAATCTGAGGATGAAAGTAAGTCTTAAGAAAAAATTGCTTAGGGGGTGCTTGATACTTTTTTTCGACGATTTTCAAAAATTGATATCTCTTAAACTAAAACAGATACCAACGAATTGTTGATTATGAAAGATTGGAAAATTCTCTGTCAGATAAAAATATAAAATAATTATATTTCCTACAGTAAAAGGTCAAAAACCGCCATTAAAAGTACTAAAAAGTGACATTTTTCAATTTTTGCCCATTTTATTCAATCGCGAATATCTCGTACACTAAAAGAGATAATTAATTGCATTAATTTGCAATGGTTTTAATAAAGTATCGTTTTCATAACGATATTGTGAGGGTATAGGGTACAGTAAGTGTATATTTTACTTAGCTTGTTAATATATGATATTATATGATAAGAAAGCAACAGATGCGCAAAGCCGGCGCGTTGACTAATTAATACTAATACTAATTAATACTAATGAAATCGAAAAGAAACCGTTTCCTATATACACAAAAAATATCGAGGTGTTAATCGTCGAAACCATGCAAAACTAAACTTTTAAACTTGAAGAAACAATACATCTAGCTATGACCTAATGCAGTATCTATTTTTGATGAGATTTAGAGAAATAATACCAACAAGTCCCGAAATAAAATATAACTTGTACAGCAATTTCAGAAAAAAATGATAAATTAACTTTTGGGCCGCCATTTTGAGACAGGATGCGAAAAATTTTACGGTGGCAATTGTGTATAATTAAGAAAAGCTCTCGCACGTAGCGAACATTTTCACGAAAAATATTATCTATTTCGAAACTTACCAATGCATACAGTCTATCAGGTCTTAAGGCACGGTAGGTACTGTAATTGAAAGAAAATATTAATTAGAAAATTTCATACAATGCAGTATTATGTTTGCAAAAAGACAAAAAAAGGTTCAACTCAATTCGTATATAACAATGTTTAGGTATGTGCACCTTCCACCTTTCTAGTCTACGACCTACGGTGCAATATAAGGCGATATGCTACGCACTGTCAGTCAAAGCTACTGCCATCATGCGCATCTGCTGTCGTGTAGGCGCGGTGCGGCACGAATAGACGCGGCACGACCCGGTGCGGCGCGTCTCGCCGTAGTAATTTCAAGTCCGTGCGCGAGCTCTCATGCATCTAACCTTACATTTCTCAATAGCGTGTGAACGGAGTTCGAAGACTTATAATACACAAGAACAAATACAAAAATACTACGTGGAAGTAGAAAAATTTGCGTAAGCATAACGTAGTTAAAAGTTGTTAAGGTGCCGTTTAGCTCACTTGATAAATCGTCACTTTTTTCACGGTTTCGATACACGAAAAGTGGCAATTTAATCACGGACGCCCAAGGCATTGACATTTGCAAAACAAAGCCATATGAAATGTCATGCGTCGTCAATCAAACAAATCAGGCGCAGAACGCCTGGTTGTATTGGATTTCGATTGCTTACGCGAACTCGCATGTATTTATAATCTTACATTTTCCGGTATTGTGCGATCGAAGTTCGAAGTTTTAAAATACAAAAGTAGTAATACAAAAAATAGAAATTGAGTGGAAGTTGAAAAATAGAACCGTGACTAAAGTACTTTAGTCACGGGTTTTAGTCACGAGTACAAATTCGCAACGGTCTTCGCACACAACTAGCAAATGTAAAGTTATACATAAATAAATATGGGAGTTCGTTTTACTCACGGTGCATAGCATTCCGTAAAGCCTTGTACTACACGTGTCCATGACTAAAGTGTTTCATTAGTCACGGTTTGGCCGTATTTTAATTTGCTCAACATTCCAGAACCGACAGCCGACACATAGAGTCATGGTAGGGGGCGTTGCACTGGTCGCCGAAGCCGAATTTCAACAGTCGTTCTTCAGATGTAGCGGACGTTGAATGTACGCGTTCAGTTTGTTAATTTTTGTATGATATTTGGGTTTAATTGTACTGTCGAGTGCCTATTTACAACAACATTCCTATCTACATAAATAGAAAATAAAACATGGAAACAGAAGAAACCAAGAATATGGAAATGACAGAGAATATCAACATGAAAACAGAAGAAACGAAAAATATGGAAATAGAAGAAACGAAAATCTTAGAAACAAAAGAAAACATCACTTCACTTGGCACTCACGCGTTGCTAGAAATAGCGTCGACCACTTTTGATCAGTTTCTCCCGACAAAATCAAAAGAACAATACAATAGAGCCTACGCAAGTTTCATCAACTGGCAACAAAAATCGCACCCGGATTCTTTCTCAGAAAAGGTACTAGTCACATATTTCGTATTATTGGCCAAGAAAGTGAAACCGCCATCACTGTGGAGCACTTATTCAATGTTAAGAAGCACGCTTGAGCTAATACACAATGTTGACATAAGCAAATACGTCAGGCTTCGAGGATTTTTGAAAAAACAAAATGAAGGATACGAACCGAAGAAGACGAGAGCCCTTACTGCTGAACAGATAAAAGAATTCATCGCAACTGCACCAGATGATAAATATTTATTTACGAAAGTTGGTTTAATTTTTGGAATTACCGGAAAGTGCCGCAGAGAGGAACTACTGAGAATGGAAATCAACGATGTCGAAGATCTCAATACAGAATTATTAGTACATATACCAGACCAACAAACACATACTGAACGACGGTTTGTAATTGGTAGTGAATTTTACCCGATTTGTAAGAAATATATGGCCCTGCGAATACCTAATACGACTCGATTTTTTCTCAATTATCAAAATGGAAGGTGTACACCACAGCCAACAGGGATTAATAAATTTGGATATATCTCGAAAGTAGTGGCGCAATTCCTCAAATTGCCTGAGCCTCATTTGTACACTGGCCGTGCTCTGAGGAAAAAACCCTCAACAACTTTGTTGGCAGGCGCAGCTGCTGATTTATCTACTTATGCTGAAGATTATATGGATGAATCTTCCTTCGATTACCAAATAGAGTCTGTTAATGTTAAAATGGAGAATATAGACTCACTTACAAATGAGGAATCTACAGATTGTGACATTTTCAGTAGCAACCCCATCAAAACTGAAGTTCCTGAAGTTACTACTGAAGTTGATGAAGTAGCTGCAGAAGTTGATGAAGTAACTACTGAAGATACTACTATCAATTTCAATAACCATGTAGTACAAAACCATGTAGAGACCCACCAAACTAAATCAGACCCATTTTCAATTTCATTTACCAACTGTAGAGACCTATCTAACATATCATTTAATTTTCATGTCCAGGAGTAGTTTGTTCCTATAAACATTGTTTTGACTGTGCATTATCATTTGATTCTTTGGTATTATTTTTATATAGTCAAAAGGATCCGCAATAATTATTATAGATATAAATAAATAATTGATTATATTGATAACATGCGTATTATTTTAATACTTCCTTAAATTAATACTGTTGTTATTACTACTACAGCATTTGGATATAAATAGTAAGACGGAACGAAGTTTGCTGAGTCTGAGTCTGTTTATGGACAAAACCAAAAATATATTGAAACTAAAAATATCTAAACTTAAGAAATACAACAACCATGCTAATACCCAATTTATGTTACTTACCAATTCGAAAACGGTCCGATGTCGAAGAAGCAGCAATAACACTCGATAATGGACGACAACACCACAGCCGTAAACGTCCAGAGTGTTAGGAACGCGGCCATTTTGTGAAAATTGCAACGCACACGTCACACGCGAACAAAAATCCAGCACTTATTGAGATTCATACCGCGGTAAATATTTAACAATAGACTATACATGTTAGTTACCACTAAATAGGCAATTAGTGAATGAATAAAACGCGATATCCCGAACTGAATGTGAAAAAATGATACGACCCGCAAGAAGTACGTCTGCATAAAACAGCGATCGGCACGGAACTATCTGCACAACATCGAAAGAACATGCCAAATATCCAACGACATCAAGCGTTACCGATAAGACAATCGCGCAACCGCAGAAGAGAGCGTGAAATGCGCAAAACACACGCGCTGATAGCACGCGGCTTAAGTTAAAAGAAATGCAATCCACACGCACCCATAACTAAACTCGATTATGACGCATGAGGTTACATTGAAATATCATTTTAAAAACTAATTCTGTAGAATACATACCTCAATCTTTTGCACAAAATTTTACTTTTTTATATTAATGCTCATTTCTGAGGTTCTCTTCTATAGGACATGGATTCAGCACCCCAAAGGCCCACCTTTCCCCTCACCATCCACTTTTTGCAGGAATGCCGCAGGTATGCCACAGATATAAAAGGCCAGCTCACTTAGTTTGTGTTTGCTTCTTGCAACATTTTCCTACATCTTTCCGTCCTGCGTATCCTATACAATATTACAGAATAAAAGTTTAATAATAGAGTAAACAAAATATAATACAATAATTTTAAAAAGTTAATATTTCACGTGCGCCGTCGGAAAATAACTAGTCATTCAAAGTAATTGTAAATAAAGCTTAACGAATAAAAACAACTAGCAAATAAATCGAAAAACTAAACTTTGGCGGCATCTGTTCATGATTTACATTACTAAAAATCAAAACAAGAATGAAGGTTAGGGATTATGTGACACATGCAGACACATGACTCGCCCAGAATAAAAATTATTAAAACATTGCAAAACACCGGAAAGCTTTTGGAAATATTTACACCAAGAATTACAAAATATTTTCCTAAATGGGTTTTAAATAATTAGTCAATAAATGTTTTAGTTAAGCCTAAAATATGTCGAATTTAGAACTGCAAGAAGAGGAAAGAGAAGTATTAAACTCCATATATGATGGTGATGATTGTTACAAACAAATCGACCCAACTACACATCAATACAAGGTATATAACTAATGAAATAATATGATTGATTAATGTAATACTATTAATTTTTTGTGCATCTAATAGTATGGAATTAATGATGACCCCAAATCATTTGTCTTGGAATTGAAATGGAATGATACATATCCAGAAACCAAACCAGAAATTTGTATGGATGCCTTTTATAATAAACATATGTAAGTTATTCCTCAATCATACCTCAATCACAGACAATTTTTAACAATAAAAGCAAATTAATATTTCTACTTGTAGAATTCAGTCATTAAAAGATAAAATATGTAGTTTATTATCTGAGGAAGCTGAACAATATCTAGGAATGTCAATGACCTACTCATTATTTGAATTCATCAAAGAAAAGTTTGATGAACTGATCCAAGAACAACCAGAACATGTCGTTAATGAGTCGGTTGTTTGTGATGTAGACAAAATGACAATAAATGATCCTCAGGTCAGTATATTCAGTCAAAAAATAAAAATATTCCAAGAAAATTAATTTTTAATTAAACTCTAGGAAAGCAAAAAAGAACAGAAAAAAGAACAACTTACCAAGGCACAAAAACGACGACAATGGGACCGAGTGGACGGAAAAGGCGAAAAACCACGTGGTTGGAACTGGGTGGATATTGTTCGACATCTCTCACAAACCGGCGGCAAGGACGAAATACCACCGACCTAGTGTACATAACCAATGTTCAATTGGTTAACCTGTATTGAGTTTCATGTTACGAAAAAATATCCCTAAATAATAAAACATAAATTGCCCTCAATAGAATTTTAATTTATGCAGATGTTTTAAGATCAATTAAATATTAATTGTCCTTTTTCGTTGTACTACAATCTGCATCGTCATTTAGCAGATTACAGCGCCACTCGCCGACAGGCAGCGAGTTACGCGACAAGTCCCAGTCTAAAAATTAAGTGTTACTAAAAGTCACCAAGAAATGATTGAACTTACTGTTGATTGATAATCCCGTGAAGAAACTTAAAGCTTCCGCATGGATATAGACATTGAAGATAATGAAATGTTCGAGTGTGAACATCTCCATATTTTCACTGACTGGCGATCGCACCAATTTTTTCATTAAATTATGTAATCGCTGAGTTGGTGTGACATGATGTATATGCCTTTTTGTTTTGGAATCCTGTAAATATGCAATAGAAAGCAATACATTGTCACATAAGAATGTTTCAAAACAAAATACATACCAAAAGTATGTTGTTATAAATTAATAACGCTTTTCCCAGCATAATTGCATGAAAATATGCTCTAATCATCAATTCCGAATCGATGCTTTGATCAAAGGCAACGTATAAAATGCGTTTCTTCATTTCGGGTACAATTATATACTTTTGACCTTTAAATGCTTTCATTATCAGATTAAGCCGGTCGGCATGAAGAGTCTTGAACGGTTTTTGAAGTGACGAACCCATTGTGATAGTAAATCCACATAAATAACTATCTGATAACAAATATTTTTTAATAAAAACAATTTTAACTTATCCCATTAACTCACCGGTTTTAATAAGACTTGGAAAGAATATTGATTCAGCTTTATTCACCACAGTTGGGTTTGCGACAGCATCGTACTTCAGGTAATTATTAAAAAACAATTAAAAACCGAGGGAGATTCAAATGTTTGAAAGTCAATCCGTGGATGGCTTTGTAGTTGGCAAAAATGTGCATTACAGTGAGAAATGCAAATATCACAGCCAGATAACTACAAAATAAAGAATTATTACATTGTTTAGTGTTTAAAGTGTCTAAAGTAAAGATTTCATAGATTTGGAACTTACACTTCATTATTCTCAAAATAAGTCAGTAGGAAAATACCCAAAATGCTCGCGAGTAGATTAACGCATGTTTCCTGACTTCCGTCTTTGGCAGACACATCCGCCATGTTGCCCTGCACGGCTTGGTGTTGGGTAATGGCGGCACGAGTTGCGCCACCCGCAACTCCAACAATAGACTTCATGACTGAAGTTAAACATAACAAACCTGTGTTTGATTTTAGTGCCCAATATGGTAAAGTGAACTCTATTGTTAATGCACAATCATTAATGATGTCAGCAAACATTCGCCATGTTTTACAGTCAGAATCCAATGAGTTTCTATCAATTTAAATAACAAATACTTTAAATATTTAATTATATTTGTATAAAAATGCTTTAAATACTTACCCATGCCACCATACAAATAATATCCTGCCACCTAAACCACTTCCATCCTTGATAATCCAAGTTATTGCAGCTCCCAGAGCTGTGGCAGTTTGATCACCAACTCCAACACTTTTCAAAATACTCTGAGTTGTAAAAGTACCAGTGATTGTGCTGCAGAAAGCTTGAATTGTATCCCATATCTGATAGGAAACATAATCGTCACTCACAGATTCAGGAAAACCAACTGGCAGAAAAATTTGCTTGAATAAATCCTTGAGAAAGAATGTGACACTGCTTGCAATCCCTTCACTGGATTTAATTATTTTTCCATTTACTAAAATAAATTAATTTACATACAATAATAATCAAAATAATAATCTAGATTATGTACTCACAACACTTGTAGGTATGTTTGCCACCAAATTTTCCTGCATTTTCAATAAATTGATATACCTTTTCTTGCTTTGACACTGATGCTAAAGTATTGTGAGAAGAACAAGGAGAATCACCGGTTTTAGACATTGTAATCTCTAATTACGTTAATATAACGGATAAGAAGAAAGAAAAAACGATATTTTTAAGAGAATAATGATTAAAACATGTTTTTGTCAACGTCAAGAAAACAAACTGAGAGACAGCTAAACAAATGCGTGTCAGCTGTTGCTGAACGGTTGATGTTAACCTAACCCAACATAGTTTAAAAATTGAGTTTAAAAACAAGTTTAAACAAGACAAAGTGAAAATGAGTAGAAAGAAACAAGAAGTAAAGGAATTCGTTCAAAACTACGCGCATGATGGTAAAAAACCACTCGGTCCTGCACCAAGAATGGGTCTGTCAAGGAAACTGAGACCTTCATCAAAGTTGTTTAAAAGTCCTCTACTCAATCCACCTGTAACTTATCCTAAATATTCCGATACTTCTGAAACGACAACACCACCGGCATCTATAAATTTAAAGGATAATGAGAAGGACAATACATCTACAACTCCTGCAAGAAGCAGCAATAGAAAAAGAATAAAGAAGAATTTACAGGGAGATTTTGATGAGACTTCCAAACTTGATGAAACAAATGAAACAATTGCACAAAATAAAAATGTAGAGTGCTTGGATAATTTAAAACAAACAAATGAACAAAACAACAGTGAATCTAATACTCAATCAGTAGAATCATCAGAGGTTTTAGCAGAAAATAAAAGCACTATGTCTTCACAAGAAAAAAATCAGGCAGAAGAGATGGTTGGAAGAAAGGGCACCAGGACTAGAATTCCAAACACATTTGTTGAGATTATTGTTGATAAGGAAAAGAAAAAGAAGAAAAGTCCCAAGAAGAGTAACAAAAAAGAAGATACAAAGAAACCTGAGCCAAAAACAGTTGTAGAAGAAGAAAAACCTGTAATTAATGAAGTAGCACCAAAAACTACTGCTGTAAAGCCTAGAAAGAGGAAGATTACTGATGATAACGCTGAAATCCTGCCGAATCTAAGTGCGGTAACACCCGAAAAGGTAGTAGACAATAAAGGTAGTAGAGTTACTCGTAGTCGCGGAAAAAAGACCCCAGAGTGCCCAATTTTAAGCCCACAAGAGTCTAAGAGTCAAAACGTAAAGATAAAAGCGAAAAAAGCTGTAAGACGAATTGTTTCAGATGATGAAGATGAATCCAAAATGGATGACAAAGAAAATGGCAACCAAACCAACTCACAAAACAATAATAAACATAAACTTGATAATAACAACACCAAAAAAGTAATGAAAAGCAATGATACTCAACATGATAGTGATGAGGATGACTCGGTCCCACTAGCTGCTCTTACCAAAACAAAACCCAAACCGAAAAATCCGTACAGAATAGAAATCCCACCATATAAACAACTTGACATGAAACCAGGCCTGCACAAACGTATCTCGCTAAGTTTAAAACGTTCCTCAGCAAGTTTGTCAACATGTTCAGATTCCAAGGATAATAAAACATGCATTGAAACATCCGACATGGAAAAAGATGCGTATGACAATTTACAATTGGAAATGCTGCGTAATGAAGTCTCTGCGTTACAAAAAGAAGTCGAAAGTAAAAATCAAACATTCGACGCACTTGCTAAGAAAAAAGCCAAGATTCAAGAATTGAACGAGTTGACAAACCAATGGGAGAGCGGTAGTAAAGACGCCCTCATCGCCTTGCATCAAAAGATGACCGAAAAAGGCGAAAACATGGATATGGACGTGCTGCTCAAAAAATTCAACGCTCCACCGGATAAATTTAAATTTGACTCTTTTCAATATTCTTTTGTATAAACCTAGGTTATGTTTAGAGATAATTTTTGATACGCGCACATCGCAATAAATGCATTTAATTTATCTTCACATCAATTCTAATACTTACTATACTAATATTTATTTTTAAATTTACATTCACACAAAAATGCTTCATACGTTTGAATTCCTTTGAATATAGGTTAGGTTTTAATCTAAAACCTATTTTAACCTATAAATATTTACCTCCTAGCCTTCGATATCGAAGTACTATGAGTTTTGCCTCCGCTTAAAACAATATACGGACTCTGCATCTCCTTTTGTTTCGCCTGTAGCATATTCAACGTCCCCAGCGGTGTGTCAGTACTGCTCATCTTCTTCATCAAACCCTCCTGCTGCGTCTTCTTCAACCTCTTCTCAATCTTATTCTTCCCGGGTCCCTTTCCGTGAAACTTATGACTGAGATACCGGAACGCCTCCTTGCTATTCAACACATGCCCATCATCATCGATATACTCCAACTTGACATTCGGTTTGAACGTTTCCTTCTCTCTGAAGTCCTGCACGGGCCCTGCGTATCTCTCACGCCTGTTACCTCTATCCTCTTCACCGTAATTTTATCTTCGATTGAGTAATGCTTAGCTTGCAGATACGCCAGTCTAGTATTCGACGGTCTATTGCTTTCTTCTTTGTCAAGATAACCTTTACTCATTGCTAATTTCAACGCGGCACCTACCCCAACACCTACATCAGGTTCCTCATCTAAAATAGGTTCTGCAGATCCTCCTGCAATTGATGTTGAACCTGAAGCACCATCAGATGTAGTCCATTTCGATGCGGCAGTCGAAGCTTCCTCGACGATTTGACAATCATCCTCCGAATCGGATTTGATTAAATCATTGTCATAATCCATTAATTCTTCAGTCTCTTCACGATTACCTGCTTTTGCCATACGTGGGGATATCTCCAAGCGTTCGACAAAACTCTGCGGTTGTATTTAAGATAATATTACCTGAATCGATCGGTTCTTCCTTGATTTCTGGTTTGATATTAGCGGCGTGTTCCTTGATGAGGTCGGAAACAACCACTTCGCGTTGTTTTAGTTTTCGTGCATTGTGTAGCGCACGTTCAAGTCCATCATCTTTTTCTTCCAGAGCAATATTAAAATCACTATAATCTTCAACTTTTATTTTATTTTCATCTGGTTCTGTTTTCTTTACGCTTTTATCTTGTGCAGCAACTTCTTCCAAATCATCCGCGGTTAATAACGTATCCTTTTGCCTAATTTTCCTGACTTTTTTCTTGGGTTTCTTAAACTTGGCAAGTTCTTCTTCATTGTAGTAATCTGAAGCAATGTGTGCATAATTACCAATTGATGATGGTAAACTCTCAACGCGTTTGTTCGCTAGTTTTTCTTTAATGTTTTGTAGAACATTCTGTTTCCTCTCGGCGGTTGTCTCGTATCCACCGATAGTAAAACTATCATTTTTCACACCGTCAATCTCCTCGTCGTATTTGTGTAATAAATTCTTCGGTACAGGATTTCCCCACTCGTCTAAATCCTCCATGTCGTATGGATTGTATTGTGGTTTCTTCTTTTTATTCTCTATATTCTTCTTATAGCGTTCATCGTCTATCATGTTGACATTGACGAGGACATCGTCGTCCTCATCAAGCACGCCTTGATCCTTTAAAGTTAAAATAACTGTTTTGCCTTCTTTGAATGCATCAACATTATGTTGAACATTTAATCCTTGTAGATTCTTCTCAGTGTATTTCTGTTGTTTTTTAATCTTTGTTTCCTTCTCAATTGTTTCACTTACACCAAACTGTTCATCTAATTCTTCCAGAGCTTTGGCTCTCATTTGAGCTTTTTTCTTGGCATCCACCAAGTTTCTATTCTTTGATACCCAGGCAGTGGTATCATCATCACTGTCACTCTCTCCCAATGTTTTAATTTTAGAAAGTTTTGCTTCGATTTTACGTTTTTCTTTATGTGTGCTAAGTTTGGTTTTTAATTTCTCTGATTTTGTGGTCTGGGAGATATTGCCTGCTGGTTTATGGTAAAACTCACCCCATTCATCCTTCTTCTTACCATCATCCTTTTTGTCATCACTTTTCACAGTCTGTGTGTCCACCTGTAAAGGTTTCAGACCAAGTTTGGCTCTCAACTTGTTGGTCTCTTCAATGGATAAACTCTCATGAGCTTGTCCACTGGATGTGGCATTAGATGCAGCTGGACTAGGTGATCTGGCTTGTGACGATGGTGCTGGCGGTGGTGGTGATGCTTCCCGGTCGGATATCTCGACCACATCAGAATCTAAATACCAAAAAGTTTGATAAACTGGTACTTTTGCTAGGAATATGATTATTCTTGTTGGGGACAAGTTAATAACCTTACCGTTTGATTCATAGCCGTGTTGGCGTTTCGGCTCGCGGGCGTCATGTTTGCGCTCGCGATGATGATGGCGTCGGCTGGTGTGCTTGCTGCGTTTGTCTCGGGGGCTTTCATCGTCGGAGATGCTACGGCTGCGATGGCGTCTTTTGCGATCGCCACGGTCGGAGCGATCCTTTTCCTTGTACTTTTTACTACTAGAACCCATTGCTTTTGTTTAGTATACGGAGTGCTATACTGTAGTTACCTCAACACCTTTCCGAGGGGAGAATTTAGAAAATCGCTTCTCTTCTCGACAAGAATCACACAACTATGGAGTTATGGCAAACGCTCCTAAACGAATTTATGTTTAGGTTATACAATAAAAGTGACAAGTGACAATGTAGTAATCGAAAACAACACCAAAAGCGCCACCTGAAACTGTTCAAAATAGCAAGCAATATTAAGCAATGAACAATATAATGCTAAATGTATCAAAATAGAAGTTTGTAATTCTTTTGTTGAGCATATATGCGATATTCCTTTATCACAACAGAATTCACACTGAACAAATATTTCGTAGGTAATAGTGGTTGCCTATCATTCAAAATATGAAAATGTAATCAAAATTAAGTGTGTGAATGCCTAAATGTTGAACTGGACAACCTAGATGATGAATTTCCAGAATGTGAGGCACTTCCAAGAGTTGTTGTATTTTGAGAATGACTTGCATTGATTTTTGTACCCTGAAATTATATTAATGTTATTTTAAATGCTAATAAATTCAAATAAAACTATCAAACATACACTTCTCATTCTATACACCTGATCCAAACCATGAGGCAGCATGGGCCTTGCAGAATTAATTTCCATGGGAGTTAGGTGATCTACAGCAGCATATGATCCAGAACTCTTCATCAATGAAACAATAGATGCTCTAAGTTTAGACATTCTTATATCCCAAATATCTTTTACTATGGTTCTAATTTCTTCTGCTCTTGGTATATCATCAGCTGCATGTCCCAATAGGAGTTTTGCTTCTACCATGTAGTGATCACTTGGCATTTTTGTGAAGATTCTTAAAAATCAGTTTAAATTTTTGTGCAGTTGATAGAATTATTAGATTAATTACCTTGAATTCTTCTCATTTTCCTTGAGATTCTCCAGCAATTCTATGTCCATCCATTCTGGGGCTTGTACCTTACACTTTTTTGCTGTTTGAGACTTATTGCCATCCACAGTGGTACTTTAATTGGTAAACCAGCTCTGAAAGGGCCTACATCACCAGTTATCATGTGGATGACGTTGCTTTTGAATGTTGGAATGATGCTCACTTCTTGTTTCTCAGCAAAGAATTCTAATTCTTCTGGATCCATTATTTAAATGTGTGAAAGTAAGTTCGAAAAGCAACAAGTGTGGAGCATCAAGTTGTACTGTGAGGTTAAGTATTAGAGAGGGAAAATAATTTAAAACTTGAAAGTTAAAACATCGTATGGTAAAATATTAAATTTATAATATAAATTAATATATATTTTTAATTGAAAGTTTATGTAAGGAAATTCATCAAATAAAAAGCACATTTGGTAAATATTTTAAAAAAGATGTAGCCAATGCTAAAAAAGCAATTTGATGTCTTTTTTTATTGTTAACATAATAATTATTCTTGTTTTTGTTGGCAGATATTATCACTGCAAGATAATTCATCATCACATGTTGCATAGAAATAAGTTTCAAGCTTTCCACACTTTTCTCCCAAACCTAAAACAAAAATTAATATTATTAACATGCAAACATTTACTAACAACAAACCTTTTTCAGATATAACGCAGGTTTTACAACAATCACAAGGATGTAACTTTTCCATGTTTCCACCTAATTTTTGGCAATTTGCTTCAATCGGAGGACACTCTTCTATGCAAACGAACAAACAGACAAATGGCGATTGACATTCAACGCTTAACACGCAGATTGTTACTAAACACAAAAGGATTCTATACATTTTTTCCATAAATTTATATATTATGTTTCAACGTGACTGAAGTTATTTTAGTTCAATTGTGAATACAAAACGTGTACAAGGTATGATATCACAATGACACTGTTCCGCTCATAATCATTTATAATATGCTAAATTTATGGCAGACTGTTGCACGATAAGGAATCGTGTCGTCGAACAGGATTTCACATAGTTTATAAAAAATGTATAATAGGTATATAAATCGCTTGGAAAGCCAGTATTATTTATAAATAATTATATTTTCAATTTAATTATAAAGGAAATATGTATGTTAAATATGTTCCTGCGTTACAATATAATAATATTTTGAGTTGTAGGACAAAAAATAATTTGAAATAATAATTTATTCCGTTTTCTTGTTGAAAATGCATATAATTTTATTTAAACGTTTGGTTGGCATGTACCGTCAATACAAAAATCAGTTTCGACTTTACATTGGTGAATTATGGCATCTTCCGAATTATGGCCGCACATCTCGTTGGTATCTAAAATAACATTAAAGTATTACATAACATTATAATTGTAGTTAATATGATTAAATATGTTAGTTAATATAGATTGAAATAGCGTAAATCTATCTAGATTTACTTACCAGATTCAAAAATACAGCTATCACAACAACTGCACATCTTCTTTTCAACTTTGCCGCCTCGTGCTTCGCAGTCAGCTGGAACAGTCGGGCATATTCCAGTACAGACGTATTTGCACACAATTTTCGGAGGTACGAGTATTTTAGCCGAATTGACAGATTGAACCACCACAAAGAATCCAACAAGCAAGAAAATTAAGGAAGCCTTCATTATTACAGTTTGTTGTTTGAAGAAACTTTAAACTGATTTCATTTTGTTTGAAAGTTTACTTATATACTCGTTCACAATTAAAGCGCTTAATTAAAATATTCGTGAATGATTTTTAAAATATTTGGAATCGTGTTTGAAACATTTATAAACCAATAATTATTATAATTACTAACTATTATTAGGTGATTTTGTAATACAAAACGTGCGTCAATGCAATGCCGTGACGTTTAATCTGCTGAATTATTGAATATTTTTTACAAAGCAATGCTGACAATTAGGGTAACTAATCTACTTACGTAAATTAAGCAATTTTTACATTTTCGTGCTTTCTAGGAAAACATAGCAAACTACGTGAACTTGCATAATACATTTTTTAGTTGTTATCCATTTTCACTTTCAATATAGTCAGAGTTCAAGTCTCATTGCGTATCGAAAATTAATAATAATTATGGGATACCGACATTTTAAAGGCTAATGCATTCTAAAATGAAACATTGTTGGACAATATTTAGTATTATAAAAGATGTTTATTTATACATCACTTTTTATATACAGTTATCCTTCACTACAACAAAAAAGAGAAATCCCTACTTAATATTATAAATGCGAATGTCCTGATGTTTATCATGCTTTCACGCAAAAACTACTTAACAGATCATCATGAAAATTTGTACACATATTCTTAGTGGTCCCCGAGAGGTTATAGGCTACTTTTTATTTAATAAAAAAATTATTTTTAAAATAAAATAAAGAAATAGTTTAGCCAATAATACCTCTGCATCTGGCTATTTGACTACTTTAACGCCATCTAGCATTCCAGCAATGAAGCTCAAACCTAAGTACTATAGTACCATCACACTGTATTATCACACTGTATTACCGACAGCTACGTCAACAACAAATCCAATTGACTACACTATGGAGACTGTACACTATACTTCCATAGACTATACTTTCAGCCATTTTAAACTTCCCGCCATTCTACTTCATTGTTACTTCTTCTGTGACTACAGACGCGTACGGAAGCAACTTCATTATTTTAGATATTCGCGAGCGAAGCCAAGGGTTAAAGCTAGTATAAGATATATAAGAGCAAATATTTTAAAAAGAGAAAGATAGAGAGTCTGTTGCCGAAAATAGTTTAATATTTTATGATCAAGGCTATTTTTTGTTATTTATTTGGCAGGAATATGCAACCCATGTACCTACTCGTAAGTCACGATTTTTATGATAAAGCAGCAAGATCAGGGAAAAGAAAAGTGTCTCGTATATAATAGAAATAAAAATAATAATATCAAATACGTTTGAAAATGAAAAAATTTAAGTTGTTTGTAAAGTAGGTTTACGATCGAGATGTTTACGTGATAACGTCTTATTGGTGATATAAGTGTTTTTTGTTGCAATTGTTGTAACACTTCACTTGCACTTCACATTTTGTTTCACTGTCTTTTGTTTCACATTCAACGAAAACTTAACCGCACGAGAAAATCTCCATTCGTTTGTATGCCGCTAGAGTGAGAGAGACGGAAGATCGGTCCACTCACTCGAACGCTATGCCTGCCTCCGCTCGTGTGGATTTCACGGAATGACTGGCAGCGCTCGAGATGAGACGGGAGATCGGTCCGTCTCTCTCTCTCTCTCGTTATACCTGCGATCGGAGGCCTCGTGACACAAGTTTCTGAACATGTCACCCGACTAAAACGATTTTAAAGACGTTATCACGTCAAAAGGGAAATTTACAGGAATTGGTGCAATAAATGTTAAATGTGAGGATAGAAACTATATTGTTAAAGTTCACATTAGTTTACAGAAATAATACAATCAAATATTTTACATAAATGCTTTATTAATTTTCAATTTCAAATATCACATCCGTTGTTGCATCCATAGAGAACGGCATTTGTGAATGTATCAGTGCATCATTTATTAGTCTGTAAAAAATAATAATAGTAATAATATTTTCAGTTACAAAATAATTTAATGCTAACCTGATCGAAGTATACATATATCACAACATGCACAAGTCGGCTTTCCAACCCGGCCACCCCTTGCAACGCAAGCTGCCTCATCAACTTCCTCACACCCTCCAAGACAAACAATTCTGCAGTGCACGTCAGGTGGTGGCACTGACTGATCGGATTGGATCAGCACGAGCAAACCCACAAATACGCAAATTGATAAAGTCTTCATCTTCGCTTTATTCAAAACGTTTAAACTGTTAGGAATTTAAACTTGATTTTGTTTATATAGCTAGTTTCAATAATGTTGTACTTTTCCGATCAACCTTATCTAGCAGCATTTTTCGAATAAATTTATGCTTAAAATGCTTTAAATTTCGTGTTTAAAACTTGCAAAACATGTAATTAGTGCTATTTCTGACGCTAGTGATAGTCATAAAAGTTGTGTAATATGATTGTGATTGCGAAAGAAATTTGGTATGTGTCAAAAATATTTAGAAAATTGTAGAACATGTAACAGGTTTCGCAAGTAAATATTGTAGGTGTAATCTTTCACATAATTTAGGAAAATTACATTGAACACTTGAAATATCTTGCGTTGTCTTTTAACTGTGAACTTAAATGCTTATCAGCAGAGCATGGTTTGGGAATAATTTTTATTTTATTTTCCTTGCTCCTGCTACGTGGGTTAAACATGTAAACTTGTTACTTCAACTTTACAGAAGTGAACACAGTAAAGTGTATTTTGTATCTGCTATAGCTCGATTATAAAATTAATTTATAAATGGGAAATATTCAAAATTTTTGATCAGGTTTCGGGAGATTAACATGGTAGCGTGGCCGAGCGGTCTAAGGCGCTGGTTTAAGGCACCAGTCTCTTCGGAGGCGTGGGTTCGAATCCCACCGCTGCCACAATGTTTTGCATCGTGAAATTTGAAGTTTCAGATGTATCACAAAAAAGCATGGCCCATGAGGGGATCGAACCCGCGACCTTCGCGTTATTAGCACGACGCTCTAACCAACTGAGCTAATGGGCCGTTACTTTACGTAGTTTGGGACCAAGGATCGAGGATACCGGAAAATATAGACTTGATAAACAAGAAAGTGATAAGCAGCAATAATGTAGTACTATTCAAATATATGTATTATTTAATTATTTTAAAACTAAATTAATTTTAGTTATTTTTTTTGAGTTGGCAACATTTTTTGAAAGAATTTTTGTGTCTATTTTAAGGATACAGTTAAGTGTAATTTATTTTTGGAACAGTGGAAACGTATTTGTTATTATTTACTTTTTTCACATGCCGTATTGTTTAATTTTCATCACTTTTCTTGTCCGGGAAACAAATCGAATGTTCACATGTCAAGTTACAATCACATTCGTAGTAAATCTGGCCTCGATAACCACAAAAGTTATATTTTTCTGCAATATATAAAAAACTTACTTAATTAGCTCAAAATTATTTATAAATAATAAAATTTTACGTACCAGCAGTATATACACAAGTGTCGCAACATGCACACACCCCTAAACGTTTGATTTGTCCTCCATTACTAGTACAAGTTGCTGGAATTTGTGGACATTCTTCAATGCAGACAAAATCGCACACAAAATCAGGATTATTTTGTGCGCTGCATGACAAAATATTTAACACCACAATTACAGCAATTAGTGAAATGTGAAATAACGAAACATTCATCTTGTTCGTTTTGTTTTATTGCATTACTTATCAAATTATTAATTATACTGTTGATTAAAGTTAAAAAAGGTTTTATATGCTTGGAAAGCTTTATTTTAATGTTGTAATATTATTATATTTTACTATTATTTATATATGTTATAACAATTGAGTTCTTACAGGATTACGTTATTGTGTGTGTATATAAATATTATCAACAATTGTTTTATGCGCATGTTTGCATTACAACGTCATAATTCAACATTATTTTTAAAACACGTAAAATGTTGTCAATCGTCACTGTTGGTTGTTGTGATGTCATCCACAGATAGCAGCAACAATGGGCAGCAGTGGAAGCGGCAACTTTAAATGTATGATTAAAAACAACGTGGCCCATGAGGGGATCGAACCCGCGACCTTCGCGTTATTAGCACGACGCTCTAACCAACTGAGCTAATGGGCCAATAGTTTACACAGTTGGGGACCAAGGATCGAGTTTAAATATAAATAAATGTGATAAACAAGTAATTTAGTGAAGTACTATTCAATCACATGTTATCGTTCTTTATTATATTACATATAATATAAAAAATATTGTTAATAAACTTTCATATGAATATATTTATATGTTGTTTAAACAAAACTGCTTTTAGTTTTCATTATCATAAAATATATGATTTTAAAAATATAACAAATGCGATTTAGGTATTGTAGGTACTAAGGTAATTTAAATTCTTTACAGTCATAAATAGTTGTGTTAATAAAGTTTTCTATCAGTACTCAGTTTTATATTATTTTTACGATGCCTTTAATAGAATACACGAATCTAATTACTGTATTTTTTAGTGTTTGTAATAAAAATAATTGGAATTAAGATATTAGGTATATAAGCACAGGTATAAATCGTGTCCATTAGTTTGATGTGCATTTGCAAGTGAATTTAAAACTTTTTCCCTTATATTCAAACAACGCATGTCGTTTTTATTTAAGAAAAGTTAATTAGTCTTTTTCATGGTTTCATAACAATAAAACATAACGTAATAACGTAAAAAGCTTTAAAAATGTATCAGTTTCTTCTCGATATTTTGTTACAATCGTACTTTCAGCCGAACTCATGTGTGTTATATATTACCACTGATATTCCAAATAGGATAAGATCATATCCGGTGTATCTGATTTCTCAAGTGGATAAAATAAATCTACAAGTATTACATTGTGAAAATATCATAGTACAGGTGGAAAACTCCACGCAAGTCGTCAATTATTTAGAAGAATATTTGCACAAAAATACATCTGGACATTATAACAACAGAAAATATTTAATATTAATGAACACAAATGAATCATTGGCTTTACCCACGTCGATTTTCAATAATGTTTATAACATGTTATTTGTAAAACCAACTGAACATACATTTGAAATATACAGCCATAATTTTAAAAACACACGCAGAAATAATACACTCACTTTGGTTAATGTTTGGTATAAAAGTAATAATACTCTAAAATTTAAGGCACAAGATTATATTTCGACTGAATTCCCTAAGCAACTGGGGCGTGAATTTGTCATTGGTTCTAAAAATAATGTTCCCTTCATTAACATAGGTATGCGTTTAAGCTATGTACAACTTTCTGTGTTGAAAAAACTAGCGCTTTAAAGATGGAAGTAGCAAAAAACAATATAAATGTATTTATTAAAATAATTTTGTGATTTTCTTGGATTTTACAATTTTGTATGCGAGTTTTACATGTTTCGCCCTGTGGGTATCATCAGAAAATTTTCTGAAAATTGTCAGATCCAAGAAAATCACAAAATTATTTTAATAAATACATTTTATAAACCATGGATTACGTATTCAACTTAGAAAATAATAAATGTTTTTTTGTCGTAACAGATTTAATGCTTGGAGCGGAATTAAAAATTCTGGTGGAATATACAAAACTATATAATCTCACTATAATAATACATAGAAATGAAACACGTGACGATGGAAATCTTGAAAAATATTGGAATGCAACTCCAGGCTCACTCAAAGATTTATTACTAAAAGATGAAGTTGATATTCTCATCGGTAATATATCCTGCAGAATGTTTCCCAATCGCACAAAAACCAACTGAATTTATAAATTACAGATTATTATATCTTAACTTCTCTAACTCTCCGATATCGTGATGTCAGTCATTATGTAACTCAATTTAAAGGGAGATTCATGGTACCAAAACCTCAAGAATATTTCGATCTGCTATATGCACTCAATATTAGAAATATTTACCATTGGCTACTTGTATTTTCCAGCTATTTCATTTTAGGTTTATTTATTTATTTCAGGCATTATTTGTTAGTTTTATTACATCGATTAATACATTCTTATTCATAGTAATATTGCAGATTTAGACTGTACTCTCGCTTTGATATCTTAAAACTATATGGTGTGGCTGTTAATCAAAGTATAAACAGTCATCATATCCCTGTGGATAATTTTACACGTGTGATGTATGCATTTATTTTGTTATTTGGTATTATATTTACGACCATTTACAACTCGGCCGCGTCTAGCAATTTGTCAGCTCCAAAGTATCAAATATTTTCATAATTGCAGCTCTATTAACATTGATTCTTAAATGATTCTAGATATATCGGAGAAATAAAAACAATTGGTGATATAATTAAAGCCGATTTGCCATGGTCATCACCAGTTGCCATTTATTCTCATATACTTAATCATGGCCAAGTACAACAATATATTTTTGAAATATTTATTTATAAATTTTGCGTTAATATTGGAATTACAATTTTTTTTGTAGAGTTTAACAAGTTTCGCCCTAATATTCATAAACTTTTATGAAGATGCCCTCAGGGCGAAACATGTTAAACTCTACAAATAAAATTGTAATTCCAATATTCACGCAAAATTTATAAATAAATATATGGATTACGTATTCGCAAAAGAAAATAATAAACAATATATTTATATACAATTTTACTTATCCCAGTATATTTTCTTATATATTTTAGAAATTGCAACTTAAGGAGCAATATTTAAAATATTCATCTGGATTATTGCAATATTTAACTGAAAATGGAACACCTTTTGCATTTGTATTCACTCAATTTCAATCTGGTAAAATTATGATACTTGGATAACATTTAATATTTATTTGTTACTCTAGGATATATTAATATTGTGGCGCGTAACTTTGATTGGGAGCATTTTCAATTAATGGAGCAGGAGCTTATGACAGACAATGCCTACATGTTATTACAAAAAAATTCTGTATTTAAGGATTCCTTAGATATCATAATTAGGCGTTGCTCAGAAGCTGGATTAATTGTAAAATGGGAAGAGGAAGTAAACAATATTTGCTAGTTATTGCAAAAACTAGTACAACATCATTAATATAAATTGTGTTATAGGCTTTTTTAGCTTCAAATTCATTACTGAAACAGTACAAAATTTTTGACAAGAAAGTAATTAACGCATGGAAACCAGCGAGTTTAAACCAAATGAAAAGTTTGTTTACTTTTTGGGCGGCGGGCATTTTAATGTCTATTGTGGTATTTTTTATAGAAATTATATTTAAAAATTAAATTAATCGCTTTTTAAATTTGTAAGCTGGTCACTCGTTTAACATCAAATATGGAGGAATTACCGATTTGTGTATTGTTGTTTTGTGGAATTTTAATTTTTTTTCATGTATTTTGCTCAAGCAATTTAATGTGTGACAGTAGATAATTTAGTGAATTACAATAAATGCATTAAAACGTATTAATTGCTATTTGTCATTGATAACACTTCAAATGTATATCAGCTGGGCAGGGTTTGGGAAACTTGTAACTACAATTTCGCAGAAGTGAACACAAGAAAGTGTATTTTGTATCTGCTATTGCTGGAATATATAATTAATTGATAAAGACTAAATATTCAAAATTTTTGAGCAGGTTTCTGGAGATTAACATGGTAGCGTGGCCGAGCGGTCTAAGGCGCTGGTTTAAGGCACCAGTCTCTTCGGAGGCGTGGGTTCGAATCCCACCGCTGCCACAACGTTTTGAATCATGAAATTTGAAGTTTCAGATGTATCACAAAAAGTGTGGCCCATGAGGGGATCGAACCCGCGACCTTCGCGTTATTAGCACGACGCTCTAACCAACTGAGCTAATGGGCCGTTACTTTACATAGTTTGGGACCAAGGATCGAGGATAAGGCAAAATATAGACTTGATAAACAAGTAAGTGATAAGCAGCAATAATAATGTATTACTATTTCAATATATGTTTTCGTTAATTATTTTAAAACAAAATCGAACATAGTCCCATTTTTGAGTTTGTTTGTGTTGCCAAAGCTTTTTGAAAGAAATTGTGTATCTATTTTGAGAGTAACTTATTTTTGGAACAGTAAAAATATGTTTGTGATTATATACTTTTTTTACACGACTTAATGTTTAGTTTTCATCACTTTTCTTGTCTAGGAAACAAATCGAATGTTCACATGTCAAGTTACAACCACATTCGTAGTAAATCTGGTCTCGATAACCACAAAAGTTATATTTACCTGCAATATATAAATAAACCCTATTTAATTAACTCAAAATTATTTATAATTAATTTTAAATTTTGTTTTACGTACCAGCAGTATATAAACGAGTGTCCCAACATGCGCACACCCCTAAACGTTTGATTATCGTTATTAGCACGACGCTCTAACCAACTGTGCTAATGGGCCATTGTTTTACATAGTTTGAGACCAAGGATCGAGTTTAAATATAAATAAATATAATAAACAAGTAATTTAGTGTAGAACTATTCAAGCACATGTTAACGTTAATATAAACAAATACGATTATACAAATCAATTCAAAACAATTATTAATTAAAAGATTAGAGTGTTTAATAGCATACTTAAAAATAGTATGGTATCCTACTGGGAGCCGCAAAAATACGTGAACTCTGAACATAACTATATATGTATAACAAATATAATTATCACTTTAAAATTATGACCAATAAATTGAAAAACTATATAAATTCAATACACAAGTGTGACTAAAGATGTAATAACATATAATCGGATGTAATTATATTGTTTTAACACAGCCGCTTTTAGCTTGC